TATGACAACAAAATCAACAGATTAACGAGCTACGTTAATCCCCACATCAGAATATGAAACTTAACATTTCTATTATATAATCACGCACAAAGTTCAACAAATTAAGCCTTCACTATAAGTTAAGTCTTTACCGACATATTCGCCCTAAATTCCTAATCATATCATGTTCTACCGCAAAGTACGTGCATTCACGTCACGCACAACGCGCTGTTCAGAATACTCTGCCGTTTAAGAAAACAAAATAATATAAACCGAATGAACGAGAAAAACCCTGACTCCAGGGTTCGGAGACCTGTATATGTCTCTGTTAATCTGGATCAAAGTAAACAAACGAGTTGTGACAGTGTCCCGGAGTGGCTAATTCTATACGTTTACAAAAAAAGTGGGGGAAATAGCATTAAATGACATTAGATGTGCACGGTCATGATTCATGTTGAATGATCCAGAGAATATTTACTGGCAACTTTGCGACTACTTTTGGAAGAGATGATATTCATCTGTGTGCTGTTCTTTTTGTTTTGGCAATCAATCAAGATATTACAATTAAGACAATTAAGAACTAAGGAGTGAAATATATTAAAACATAAATGATAGGGTGAAATCTTCCTTCTATTTTTAATTTTACGATAGCAAAATATTACGATAGCAAAATATCCAAAATTCTGGCGAATGTTTGTGCTGAAAAAGCTGTAACATTGAGTTTTCTGCAAAAAATGACATCACACTTGTGCACATAAATATGCAAATGTGCATTAGCATGAAAACAAAAACGGCACCAAAATGCCTTTAAAATGGTAAAATGAAAACTGAAAATAAGGTTAAATGGGACACAAAGGTGTATTTAATACAAGGATTGCATTTTAAAAAAAAACTACATTTGGCCTCATGGGCCCTTTAAGCAGGTCTAATTCACAAATGCATCGAGTCAGTCAGTGATGTTTCAGATGAAACTTTTATACGAAATGCTGTCGACAAAGAAACGCTTAAAAAAAGAGTTTTCAAAACGCGAGTATTGATTTTATGATTGGAAGATTGGTTTCCGAGTTCTTGTCTCGTTGATGATGCTATTACTATCTCATCAAATGAATGCAGCTTTAGTGTTGGCCCCGAGACACCTGTTTCACAAGAACCTAATACCCTATTGCATTACCCGTAAATCCAGCTCTCTAATTGTCTCGTATTTGTCGATGGTCGTAGAAGGGTAGTGTGTAGTTTATATACAGCCTTTAGACTATGTACCTTATAATGCAAACCTCGAGCCTAAACACACATTGTATATGATCAAACTCAGATTTTGTATACGAATGCATTTTGGTCAAAACCCAACTTGAAGGCATAGTCAAGAAAAAACGAAATATTCTTACCATTGAAAGCGCCAGTTTGTTCCCAGATGGTAACAGAAATTCACAATGATATCTATCAGCGACGCTGTGTGGAGATTCCCTCGCCTACTGCTCCACCTTTCCACACTACCGACGATGCGACTCGCCAACAGAGATAGAAAAACAACACTCCAAGGTGACAAATGCAGTTAATATTTGGCAGGAAGAGAAATTACCTAAGGTTCATTATACATGAGTGCGTCGGGGGAACACTCGCGCTGCGATCAGCCGCGATCGAGCGCGTCCATCACACGTCCCTGGTCAACACGCCTTTCTGCGCCTTACCTATACACGTCGCTTTGCTATCTACCTACGATAGCAGAGTTTATTCAGGCCATACTGGGTGAACACGTTCAGCATGCGTCCCACTTTGGACCGTGTATGCTGCACATTGTCTCGTGTATGTGTGTGCAGCCTCGATCGCCCCTTGCCTTGCTAAAGTGCAGGCAGTGTTCTAAGTAGTGCAAGCTGGCTGGCTTTGAATGCAAGGTGATTCGGATCTGTTTTTTTGAAGAGCCGTTGAAATCCCCGGGGCCCTCTTTACCTCATGCTTTTTGACAGGGGCCGCGGAGAAAGACAATACCCTGCGCGCCTACCTGAGACGTCTGGCGGAGGGATAGAAAGTGGCAAGCCGGCTGCTGATGGGTGAATTATGATGGGATTATGAATTATGACTGGGAATTATGACCAATGAAATGTGGATTCTATAATCATCATTCGCAATTACTGAATCCATAGAAAAATAAGAAAAATAAGTGGAAAAATACAATTGAATTGTGTATGTAGAACTAAATATTTGGTTAATATTATAGGAATGGTTGACTTAATTTTTATTTTTTACTTATAATTATTATCAGCCCTTTTGTTATTTCATTCTGCCTTTTTTTTTGGATCGCATAGTAATTATACCTAATCGATTGATTGAATTTCCCTTGGAGTTAAGGTAAATCCACGTAAGGTAATCTTGAAATTAAAGATCTCTTGATGTCATCAGCCTTACCACACTATATCATGCCCTTATGGTTGTCCGTCTAATCGTGTAGGTGGAAGCAGGTATAAAGTGTCACTGTCAAGATATCATGGTCCTATGATTAGCATCTATCTTACTTTAAAAAAATGAGACAGGTTTATTCTCAGGCTTCGCCATTCCCCATGCGTAACCGTAGAGACACATCCTTGATGGGGACGGATCCATTTCCGAAATGTGCACTTGACTTCTGCCAAGGTGCGGCGATCCCCCCCCCCCCCCCCCCCCCCACAGCAGTATTGCATTGAGTCTGGCCCAATCGCTTCGAAAGAGAGATGGGCACTCCGTTCCTGAGAACACAGCAGGTTCATCCCCTTCTGCCAATCTGTCCGGTGTTGATATTGTAACTTCGCCCACGCTCCGCATTTCTTCTCCTCTATCTAGATGCCCCAATACTGCAAGATGATTGTCTGCATCTTACCCTCAGTCTCATCTGTATCTTCTTTCATTTCACCTGTATGAGCTTTCAAGTGTCAACAGACTTCTATTACCCTTCGTCCTCTGTTCACATCCGGATTGGTATTTACAGCGCACACCTTTCAGTGGCAAATTATCAGTAGTCGTCATATTTGGTCGGTTGAGGGCGCTTTCCTATGAACTGGTGGACATTCTGCAAACTGTGTCTGCCGTAGTTACGTTTTTGACCACCGAGAGAGGGCGCTGTAATGGTTCACCTATGCGTGCACATGCGAATAGCATAATCGAGCCGTTGCTCCATCCGACCATCCCATATTTTATGGTTGGTTATTCATTTAGCATAACTATGTTTAAAAAAAAAACCTCTTTTTTTTTTACCTGCCCAATCTTGGTTCTCCCAGACGGCCATTTAAACTGGTTTCTGGTAGAAAACACAAGGTAAAGTAACAACAGCAAGACAGCACGATTCCTCGATAGTAACCCCGAGGCGAAACTCCTCCAACCTTGATGCGAATTCTCCCAATAATTCCCGCATACCACGGTCCGTAATCCACGTGACGATATAATCACCGGTAATAACTTATGCGGTTGTAAATAACCTCACTGGTAAATTGGTCTAACCTTCAGCCGGCGCTGTTGTTTTTTTGTTTGGTTGTCAAAAAAGGGGTCTATCACAGCACAGCGACAGACGAAAGTTGTAGGTGATGCGCAGATGCTGTTGTGTTGTATTTATCGTTGCTCACTCGTAGCCTTTGGATGCTAGCTTTGTATGACTGGAACGAATTGACGGAATCCAGTGTGCCGTTCATTTAGGATTGGGAGGGAACTGATTGTTGACAAAAAAGGTAAGCAATTCGAATCGATTTCCTGTAAAGCAAACTGTTGAGTTTGCTAATGTGCCATCTGAAAACTGAAAAAAATACAAGTAGATTTGTACATCTTTTCTGATCTGTAGTATTAGCACTCCAAGAGGTTCGGTTGATTATCTTATTATTGTACAGCCTGAAAAAGCCTAGTCAGATTTAATTGGCACAATCAAAATTGCACCCAAATTAATAAGCTGACTACAGCTAAGCTCAACTTGATGTCAAATTGACTTTACACAAAATCTTACATTACCAGAGAGCGATTAACGAAAAGAGTTGATGGAGGTTTTTTTAATTGACGGGCCCAAAACTGGTGTAAGCAGTGTTGTTACACCGCCACTTTGTTACTGTGGATACGATTCCCGTTATAGGCCTATTAAGTATTAGCAATTGATGTTTTATTGCTTTTGGAACCGTGTTGACAGGATTGGGTTTTAGTCATTGCGTTGATGTGTCTTTTACTAAGTTCACCTTTCTAATTCGTTTGTTTGTTTTTTCATTCAACTACATGTTATAGTGTTGGTTCTTTTAGCCAAACAATTAAAATGTAGTATATCGCTAAAGAAGACGTTCACTAAAGGGAACATGTGTATCACCTGTTCAAACTTAGAACTTTTTACAAGGAGGAAGATAGGGTATAGTACTAGTAACCTAGGCATAGAAACATGGTATTGCGTCCTCACCACATGAACTCAACGTTGCTGTCAAATGCCTGGCTCAGTTTGGCCTTCTTTTATCATTATGTACCATTCATCACAGAGATTTGAGTAATCTTGAGCCGAATTCCTGAGCGAGGATAAATTCCTGCTTCTGTAAACCCTATACCGTCGTACCCGTCGTTTAGCTCTGCAAACAGCGGTGCCTTTTATCATTGAAAGTCCCGATTGCTTCCGGATGAATCGTCTCAATGTGACGAGTCAAGACTTCATTCTACATCCTCCTCACGTCCTCTGAGGCGATCGGAAAAGCAAACAAGAGATTTGGTACAGCTTAGATACTGACAAGAATGACAAACCTCGCTAAGAAGAGGATTTAGAAGCTCGATCTGCGTTCGATGTAGAATTCCTCTCGAACGACCCATTGGAATTACACTGCTGTTTTTGCTTTGATTTTCTTGAGTCTTTATACTGGATTCATTTAGGAAGTAATTGACCATTATCATGTTGCGGTCATCTTGATTTTTCCCCCACTCAAAGCAACTTAACCAAAGCGAGGCTGGAAGGAAAATAGTCAGGTTCCTTTTTTACAAAAAAAATCATTCAGTATGTTAATGGATACAGGGAACATGACTGAAGTGGTTTTTGGTGCCGGTTCCTTTGGAAATTACAGCACGACGGAAGACTGAGCATGGCACGGCAAAGCCCTCAAGGATGTACAGAATTCGTAGGAAAGCTAGGCACGTCGGATAACTGAGAACGTTTACATCAATAACGTCTCAGGGTTACTCACAGTGGGAGCACCGTGTTACGGAACTCTGTCCGGAATTTGGTCTAGGCCAGCCCTGTTGACTTGTGTCTTTATTCAAGGCTTCCGTACACAATTAAACACGGTTGTGAAGAACCATTGGTATGTCTAGAATTCCCTTTTCACCTGGGCCCTAAGAGGATTTTTGTTTTTCTTGTCTTGTCACAGTACGGGATGTCATGTTGTCTGTCAAACTCTCCGACATCATCTCTTATTCATATTTGCACAGGTCGAGGCTTTGGATGATAACATAAAAAAGGACCTCCAAAAATTCGACTATTTACCTTTCTTCAAACGGTGAGCGTATATAATGACAGTTGCGATAAGATAGCACATTCGGATTAGCTTGATATTGTGCATTCCACGCTGGGGAATTGAACACCCTAACGATCTACAGTAGTCGAGAGGTCATCACAAACTCGGCTGAATGACGGCTACAGCTCGTCTCGGTCTCTTCGAGGGAGGGTGCATTTTGAATTGTTCTCGAATTTTTGGAGAGACTTGATTTTGAGAGAGGAAGCAGGGCAGGGATTCGGAGAAGTCTGAAGAGGATTGGAGGTGCTGACGTGTTTGGTCGAGTAAACTCCCATAGGATTAGCGCACGAAGGTACCTGATCGAGGTGGGATCGAGAGATACACTCTAAAAACTCCTGGGTCAGATTGACCCCGATGTGAGTCTATATCTGCACAGCCTTTTCAGGGTCGAAGAGTGACATTTTGCTGGGTCAAAATGATCCAGAAAGGTGTCATTTTGACCCGGAAAAGTTTCATTTTGAACAGAAAAGGGTAATTTTTGACCCGGAAAGGGACTGCAGATGTGGACTCAGATTCTTGGTCAATTCTGACTCAGGAGTTTTTAGAGTGTAGAGAGAGAGACGATTTTCATAAATGGAGAGCTTGGCTAAGGGCTTGTTTGTTGTGGTGTTTTCCTTTAATTTGGGGGCAAATTTTGAGATGGAAATTTGTCAGTATATTATCGTCAACTGAGTCGGTAATAACGACTTGGTATAACGAAGTTGATGATAGACGAGAAAGGTGTGTATTCTGTATGGGCTAGGTGTGTATTATAGTAAGGGCTAGGGAACCGTTATCAGACTTTTGCCAAATATTATTTCGATGGTTAAGATCAGGTTCTCATCAGTAGGCGCTGAACAGTAGTAAACTTTAATCTCTCTGATATGCAAGACAATCCGATATACTGTTGACGTTTATCTATACAGTGGAGCCATTCTGCTTAGTAAACATGCATGCTCTAATACGCCCCCCCCCCCCACATCACCCCTCCCCGAAAAAAAATCATCCGCATGTCAACATTTAAGCAATTTTCTGATAATCATGCCTTTCTAGATCAACTATGGAGTTATGCCGATAATTGTTGCCTGCTGTATATATAGACAACATTAGTTATGCCATACTAGTTTGTTATCGATTCTTCATATATTTGGGTAAACGATTGGTCTTCCACAAATCCACACTACTGTTTATGTTTTCAGTTTTGACTATTCTTCCAGTCAGTTAGCAAGGACTAGAGAAACCAGTAAGTACTGAGCTTTAATCCCTAAGAAATAATTTAAAAGTTGTTTCCGTAAGGATGGTTTTCTGACTAATTAATAACAATTAATTTCATATTCAGGTTTTGTGACAGGTATACCGGTATTACCGGATGTATAACTTTGTTTCAACAGCAAGACTGGAGTTGTTTTATTTAATGAGCCCATCAATGTTCCTTCCTACAGGGAACTCTACCGATAGGAGCACAATGATACTCTTTTCCGCCTATCCACTCGGGATCCTGACCGTCATTGTCTTGTTAATGTTGACGGTGCCAGCCCGAGCCCAGTATTGCTCCGAGCGGCCCGGGGGTTGCTGCCCCGGCCGTGATGACGCGTGCACCGTGCCCAGGGCAGACACGCTCTGCTACTGTGACGAGTTCTGTCTCCGGTCTAAAGATCCAGATTGTTGCCCGGATGTCTTCAACAACTGCACGGCGTTACCGTCTACTAAATCTCCGCTGAACCCGAACCCTATCACAACAGGTGCATACACTTCTTTAAACTATACATTCGAGCAACGTAACGCAACGCAACACAACGCAATGCAACGCATTGCTGTGCAACTCAACGCAACCACTACTCAGCGCAAAGTAGTAAACCGAAACGCTACATGGCTTGACTTGACTTGACTTTAGTTGTTACACGTAAAATAAAGCTGTAAAAATAAGGTAAATATTACGGTAATGGTAAAGTAAAAACTGAACTTCGGCCTAATTTTTCTGATGTGGCAAACTATTTGTTTCCCTCCATTTCTGTACTTTAAAGGTGACTGTATCTACCAAGGCAGGAATTTATATGCGGGCGATTCCATTAAAATCAACTGCAACACTTGGTACGTATTGTGTGATGCATTAATTGTTTGAAATGTTCATGGGGATAATTGAATTCCTGTAATAATAAATATAATAATGAATACTAATCCACAGGCCTAAGAGGTGGTTGTGGCGCTACAAAGGAAAACAAATTACTTGAAATAAGCGAAAGAGAATACCAAAAACCTGTTTCAGATTCGCTTAAAAACAAAATGTATTTCATCCTTTCGACTCGCCTTTAATCACTTCGCAGTGCCTGTTTACCGATGGTCGGAGGTTACCAGTTGGAGTGCGAGGAGAACGTTTGCCTCATCAGAGAAGAGATCATCAATAGTGTCAACTCAGAAAGCAATGGGTAAGATGGATGACACAAAGAACCATTCTGACGTACGTTGGTATGCAGCATTACCAAGAATACTTTTTCAGCAGCTGTGTTTACTTTTTTGCGTATTCGAATTGCGCCATAAACATCTACAACCTGTCAAATTCTTGTAGTTCCGAAATATTGTACTGTACAGTCTGGTGTGATTTGAAAAAATTGTTTCATCTTTTCTTTATTATTTTTTTCATCGGTAGCTGGCGAGCCAGTAACTACAGCTTTCTGTGGGGCATGACCCTCGAGGAAGGCATACAGCGCCGTCTGGGAACCCTGAAACCCGGGCGAGCTGTGGCCGCCATGACGGAGATCGACATAGAGCAGACGAATCAACTACCGGAAAGCTTCGATTCCCGCCAGAAATGGCCAGGCTGGGTAGAGGGCGTCATGGACCAGGGGAATTGTGGGAGTTCCTGGGCAGTCTCGACAACAGGTAATGTTGGAGTCATTGATTATAAACCAAAAATATGGTTCATATTCCAACTCTATAAGCATTAATATTTTGGTACAAATATCATAGTGTTTTACTTGAATTCCCGAGTGGCAGACAATGTTACCAACGTACGTCTGAGCGAAGCTTGTATTCTCTATGGAGAACTGCACTTCTTTTCTGGAACTAGCTTACCATTGTTAATATCACAACGGTATATCAGTGTAAATATTACAACGTGAAGCCAAATCACTTGCGCAAGGATATTATTGAACAATTACAAAGGGTCAACCATTTCGATGCCACAAGCGTCCGAACAGTCACGTCAAACCGAGGTACTCTTATTCTTTCCTCTTCCACAGCTGTTGCTTCAGATCGGCTAGCCATCCAATCCATGGGTCACATGAGGGCGCCCCTCTCCGCGCAGAATCTTCTCTCTTGCAACACCAGAGGTCAGCGTGGGTGTGATGGAGGGCGCATCGATCGCGCCTGGTTTTACGTACGACGATTCGGGTAAAAACTCTTAAAGTCGGTGTATACGTGCTTTTCGGGTGTGGCACCTTGAAAAATAGATTTTCAAATTGGATTGGTAATTTTTTTTCCTTCAGGATTGTGACCGATCAGTGTTACCCCTACAAGAGTGGAATGGACGAAGCCAGTATGATGACTAGACATGCCTGCATGCTGCCACGTTATAAGACAACTCCTTGTCCAAAGGATAAGGTCACATCCGAAAAGTACCAGTCAAGTCCCCCCTACAGAATATCCACAGAGGTGAAGACAACTTGGGGCCTTTCTTTTTTGCTTTTTGCATTATTGAAACCTTGAACCAGTGATTACGTAAGATGTAGCCAATCGGGTAACACGAAAGGCGTGTAGCAGCCAATGAAATCCCAGAAGCGAAGAGGCCAATGCCTGTCCTCGGTCATCCCATTGAGGACAGGTTACCAGTCTACGCAAACAAGGAAAATGAATTGTTACCCAAAGTTCTATTAAGGTTTCACCTGCTGAAAAGTGTAACGTCGTGTAATGATTTACATCAGCCTAAAATACCATCTTCTTTCTTTAGATAACAATTTGACGATTTTTATTTGACAGGAGGATGACATTAAGGCCGAAATTCTCGAAAACGGACCCGTGCAAGGTACAAAATAATTATCTACACAATTTCTCAAATTTTTTCCAGTCTTTTTCTGTCACAATTAACTTATTTCTGAATTCAAAAGTTGTCATGACCACTACCTATTTTGGTCTTTCAGATGTGTTACTGGTATCTATTTAGATTTCGGTTTTGGGTAAATAATTGACCTGATCTCCGTTTTTTTATTCCTCAGCCACTTTGCTGGTGAAGGCAGATTTCTACTCGTATGCCAGAGGGGTGTACAAGTACACCCGTGGATCCGTCAAGGAATCCTCCCAGCATAGACGGAAGGGTTATCATTCAGTCAGGGTTCTTGGTTGGGGAGTAGACCGAACCGATCCAGATAACCCCATACCGTACTGGGTAGGTATACACTTCACTAAACTCGTCAGTTCCTTCTTTTTCTTATATAACCAGCCCAGCAAAATAAGCTGAGATTCGGTCATAGTCAATACACTTTACATGATGCTGGTATCAATTTTTTTGACAAGCATTGTTGACACACAAACTTTGTCAACTTCCATCCAATGAACTTGGTGGAGCTAATGTCGACTATTCAGTGTTATTAATTGGCACTCCTGGGCATTTGAAGTTGGCAAACTTGTGCTTTCGGCTTCATAAAATTGGTCTCGTCAAATTCCAATACTGAGGGGTGATAATCTCGAGTATCCACCCTCAAACCATGTTATATTTGATTTGTATATTCTACTTGACATTAATTTGAAGTTGACAAACTAGTCTCGCCGAGGGAACTAGTTTATCAACGTCCAGTACCATTGGAAGATAGTAACAAATATAACATGGTTTGGGGGTGAATAGTCGATATTAGTTCCCCGAGGTATATTGGAAGTGGACAACCTAGGGAACTATTTTGTCACGTCCAGTACCGATGGAAGATAATAAAACAAATATAACATGGTTTGGGGGTGAATAGTCGATATTAGTTCCCCGAGGTATATAAGAAGTTGACAACCGAGGGAACTATTTTGTCAACGTCCAACACCATGGGGAGATAATCCTGACTATCCGCCCTCAAACCATGTTCGTGGAATATTTATCAGTGAATGGCCGTCGTGGATAATGCACACACGTTGTCCATCTATTGACTAGAGCGGTTTCAGTATTGGTTGAACCCGATGCAACAAATATTTCATTAATGTTGAAATAGTTGTCTCTGAATCGTCCTATGTTTGGTCCTACTTCCTAGCTTTGCGCCAATTCCTGGGGCAGCCAGTGGGGTGAAGATGGCTACTTTCGCATCCTCCGAGGACAGGACGAGTGTGAGATTGAATCCTTCATCCTCGGTGTCTGGGGAGACGTGGATATGGACATGATGCAGGGCTGATGTGAGAAGAGAGGAACTAATTTGATGTTTTTAAACTATGGCCTGGTCGTTAGTATCGGCTTCAGGAGATTTGGGGACTTCGGCTCAATAAAGGTTTTGTGGTCTGCTTTGGGAAACGTCGAATTCATATAACGTGGCCGTGATTGTGAGTGTTTGTATTTTGTTTGGACATTTAAGGCTTCAAAATGATTTTTTTTTTTGAGAAAGAGATAGGAGGAGCCGAGGATTTTTGTAATCCATGTTATAATTTAATAATATTTTCTTCCAAAACCAGATATAATGTTACTTTTTAAGTAACCACGGATGTTTGCAGGGTTTATCATTTGTAAAATGTGTCGTGATTTCACCCTTTTAAGAATAAATCTTCACTTTTTTTATGCCAACATACCATTGTTGATCTTTTATCCATACAATTGAAATGATATCGGTGTTCACAAGTTCACAACTTGACGTGAGCCGATGACATTCTCCGTCTGCATGACTCGCCGTCGGGAAGTGAAATAAGACCCGTCTGAACCTGCCACTAACCTCGGCAAACCTTGGGCAAACCCCGAGCTAACCCGTATCTGGTTTAGCAATTAGGAGATACCGGGTTTTTTTTATCCAACACAAGGGATGTGACGGTTGCTCAATTATTTCCTCATAATCCAGATAGTCTCCCTCGCTATCGAGTCGTTAAAATGTCTAATTCATAAACAAATGTGGGATGTGGTACTGTTTGTCTTTCTATATTTCCTTTGGTTCCAAGAACCGCGGAAAACACATGATTTCGAAATTTCACTTCTTTTACTTGGTGAACCACCGAAAGTTTTTATTTCGACAAATTATTGTGATGATGTTCAATGAACCTTGGGCCCCATCGGCTGCTTAGTTCACCTTGGAATCAACGAAATCATATGGGTCACGTACGTAAGGAAAAGAAACAATACTCTTGTAGTTGTTGTTGTTGTGTTTTTTGGGTCGAAATATTTCATGGCGTTTGAAAACAGTCTGTTTAAAAGATGTACCAATGGACCCCGGAGTGCATGAACACACACGGTCTTATTGACACGAAAATGAGTGACAAAAAGGGTGGATTTCACAACTACTGTGCGATGACTTGATGTTTTGTTGTTTTCGACATTGTAACTTGTTCAATCTCATTTAGGTTCTTTGTTTTCTTGTATCAACCCATAGCTGGACCAGGCTAAGTAAGAGCAATGTGCCAAACACTGATCATGCTTTACGAGATCAACTCGTAACAAGACTACGAAAGCCTATAGTAGAGCTGCTCCTAGACCAGTCTAAGTCATACGTGACAGTCAGTTATACTGGTACGAAGACTACACTAGGCGGCCCACTCGGACCTACAGAAATGCATTTCAAAATGTAAACACGGAGTATCGACGGAGACCTAAAGGGAAAAGTGGGGGTCGCTTCGACATGTCCTGGGGCGACCCTTTGCACATTAACATGCCTCCCAAATCCCCAAGCCCACACACTTTAATAGACAAGAGTCGTCTGTCGGGGATCACATAGTGAAATTTTGCGTTGGCGTCTTTACATGCAAGCCATCTGCTATGATGCATACCGGTTGAAATGCGAAAGTTTGTGGGACACAGAGCAGTGGCAAAAAGCACAATATTTATCCCTTGAATAATCATGGTATGTTTGCGTGGGGATTTTATTTACGATATTTTTATTGGGGTAGAAAGTTGCATTGCATCACGTTCGACATTGTTGGCCTCATGGCGAATGCTCGGGTGGATTTCAGCTGTGAATGATGTGGGCCATTGACAGATTACTGGCCTGCCAAAAAGGGGTCTGACGTGGAGTGTTTGACTCGTAAATCTTAGGCTTAGAGGCTGCGGTAGATTAACTGCGGCGCGGTAGACGTACCAAGTATGGTGAACTACGTGCAGTATGAGCGTTTGAGTCGTTGCGCACAACGTCGCGATTACGCATTCGTATACGCAGGTGGATCTTGACCTTGACGCGCGCGTAGACCAGTGCGTCAATGGAGATTTGGCAAGCTTTCACGTGGGACAACAGCGCCCTCAACACTCATGCAACGGGCCCATAAACACACAGCTTCTTATTTGGATCTTTTGCTAAATGATCGAAGTTCTAAAATCGATTGAAACTAAAGCGCTGCCGAGTGATGGCTTTCTGTGCATGGAGCGCTCGAGTTGCATTTCGTGCAAGTAGAAAGTTTGTACGCCTATGGGAATTCGGTCTAGCTATGTTAAAGGAAATCGTCTAGGCAAGCACATCTATCACATGTGTAGTTCTTTCCTTGGGGCTAAACATTGCTTTCTTGTTGAGCTTCATTCCCAGGATATCTCAAATTCACATGAACGTTATCAGATCGTCTGCAGGATTTCCCATAACACCAGTTCTGTTCTTTGAACCTTGATTACTCTAGCATTTTCTCAGACTTGAACTGTGGCCTAGAAAACTTTCTTGGGGAATAGATCCGCGCTCCAGTTCTCAACATGACTCGTAATGTTTAGCTTTCGAATTCGACTTTGACGAATCGTTTTCTATTTCAGGGGACTGGACTTTCGCAGACATAACAGTTTTGCCGTGAATGCTATACAACTAGTCCCAGCTGTCGTTAACACGATAAAGAGATTATATTCAAACTCGCCGGCCTGATTATCCCCTTGCGACGTTCATAATCTCGGTTTCCTTCCTTTAACATTCGCCGCATCCTGGATTCTTCATCGATTATTTTCATGATCATGTCGGGTATATGAAATCGATATTTAATGGTAATACTTCGGAAGTCTCAAACGAAACGGAGCCCACCGACCAAAGAACATGCAAAACAAATCAGTGTTTGGACATACATCAAACATAACATCAAAATAAATATATACTTTTTTTCAAAATAAATCTTCCATTGGGAAAAATGAGATTCCTTCACCAGCCAAGTTTCTACCAAAACCTTTGACACAAGAGAGTGCATTGAATTCAGAGCGTAATAAGACTAAACTGACACTGTCATGACCAGTTTTGTTAAAAGATTGAACCTTTAGATAATACTTCATGTACAGACTTCATAATAGAAGACTCGGTACCAGTTTGTTCAATGGAAAATGTTCCAACTTGGTACACGGCTGTAGAAAGTGTTGGAGTTGTTGTTTCATGCGCGTATTCCGCTTTGTAACTGTTGCATTTCGAGGACTTAAACCGTGTATATAATCGGAACCGAGTCGGAGTCCACGTACGGCGTAAAGAAAATGTCTACACGATTTTGTGTTAAACAATATTGTCACGGCATTTTAATACGGAACAAAACTGTACAACCATTTTCCCCATGGCGAAAAAGAATGAATGAAAACTTCCGATAACATGTAATGAGAGGCTGATTGTATGCAACAGCTATCGACGAGTTCAATTTCACCGTGTCACTTGAATACACGAACTAGAATTTTCCTGACTTTTTTTGTAAAGTTTTGTAAAGTTTTGCAACAGTTACGGTTGGTGTGCCTTCTGGCACGTACAGTAGTTTGTTGTGCAGATTTTGCTGCTGGGTTTTGTCTGAGGGGTGTAGAATAGAAAACAAAGGCAGTCAGAAAAGTGGCCTTGGGAGTATCAGAGAGAACTTAGATTGAAAGAGTCAAGAGCTTTTGCCTCGGGGTAGGTTTAAGAGTTTAATTTTCGTTTGCCATTGTGAGGGCAATCTATACCATATTATGCTGAAGAAAGAATATTTACATGTAGAAGAAAAGAGGCTGTATGGATTTATAGCACATTTGCCCAATGTAAACCTATGTGGGAGGGAATGGTTTACAGCTGGCATGTAATAATATATGGGTACATCAGGTGCGGGCCGCTCGGCATTGCATGAAAATCAATAAACAAAATGCAAGCCACAGTATGGAAGTCCATCGATGACACGGAAAAAGAAAATGTCGACGAATTCACATTTACACAAATATTTGGTATGTAAATTAAGTGGCTTTCGTTTTCGTACTGTCCGTTGTGTTTTTACGTTTTTAACAACCAAATTCCACGGCGATGCTATGCCTAATGCTTTAGGTGTTTAGTACATTTCTGTACTCACATCCAGGGGGCGGATCTATAGCTTTCAGGGAAGGGGGTTTGATATGATTATTATTTTGGCCCCATTTTACTAGTATCATAACATTAGTCAGCGGCTGAACGGGGGAGGGGGGGGGCGGGGTTGCAACCCCAAACATCCCTCTAGATATACGCCACTGACATCAGCAGCTTGATAGATTTACTATACTCAGCGCTGAGTCAACCCCATGCAAGAGGTTGGACTTGGTTTCACCGATAGAGAGCCAATAAGGCATTGGGTAAAATTCAAAGTGTTAGGGCGCGCAACATGTTAAGTTTTTGCAGAAACGTAATATTTAAAATGATTGACGAGTGTGAAGATAAATGCCGCGCTGTTTTGGTTTCGCTTGAGGCCATTTTGTTTTTTTTTTGTACAGCTCACTTCCAGGTTATTCGTGAAAAAAGTGTCTATAGCATAACTAGGTCAACGTTTCGTCTTTTGTAAAACCCGGTTTAGGTATTGTGTGCTCTGTGGCTGCGCATGGAGTCAAAAGCAAACTTTGTCTGTTCGTCTGAGAATTTCAAGCATTTTAGGCCTTTGCATAGATTGGGACCACCGACGCGATCAGTCATCTTTAGTTAAGCGATAATAGATGTGTTATAATGACCGAGTACAGCATTCCACATTTCATATCTATGAAAAGCGTGTGCCCCCAAAAAAACCCATCCATTTATAGCGACATCTTGGGTGTCGGAATTTTGAGAAGCAATCTTTTGTCACTTGGGGGTCATGCGCGGGGCAGCAGCTGCTTACTGCGCATGCTTGGTATCTTGAACTTCATGTTTATGTTCATGTAGTTCTGAAGATAATGTTATAAGTATGTGGAGGTTTGTTTTCCCGCTGTCCCTGTTTGGGAAATATGTGCACAGTCTCGATCATTGACACGCCATTATTTTGTTCATGTAATTATGACTGCGGCATTGATCAGTGTCGCATATTTCATATATTTTCTTTCTTTTGGTAACAGAAAAGTAAGGTATACATCTCAACAATCGTCATGAGCGCCTTTGCTTCAAAAAAAAAACCCGCACCTCTTATTGCAAATACTGTGAGTTCAAGTTGCGCAAGCAAATTTTTAAACTTCAATTTTATTTCGACAGTTTCCTGTGCCGTTTCAACACGGTTGCAATTCTGGGGAAATCCGTCACCAGCTTGAACCACGAGGTAGTTATAAGGGCAAAGGTGATTGGCCGCAGCCGGTCCAGGCGGTTAACAGACAGCCAATACCGGAAGGTCTCTTTTCCACCTTTGTTTTATTTTCTTTCCGCGTCTGCTTCAATTCAAGTTCAATATCGAGTTCATCTCTCGTCAATATCTTCTTCTTTTTTTTAAGCAGATTTTTTGTTTAGGCAGACGGCTCTTTGTATTTCGTTTTGGCAAGATTTTGCCTCTAACTGTTTACAAGCTGCGCCCCACTTTTATGTTTCAGCAGCACCACTTATTTTACCTTCAAAATACCGGGGAGTTTTCCCCTGTGAATCACACCAGGCAGACCAGGCCTGGCCAGGCCCGTGATTTGTGAGTTAATGACCGTCAACAATTCTCACCCGGAAACGCTTTTCCCACACAGTCCGTGGGCGAGATATAGAGTGGCGCGCGTCACATTTCGGTCGTTCATCATTATTTTGACATCAACCCGGAAAAAAAGTTGAAAGAGCCCGTCACGTACGCCAGTCAGTAAGATAAAACCAACACGGTTCCTGGGCCTGGTCTATATAACGAGCGGACTGTTCCAGAGCCGTGGTCTTTCAGATGTTGAATCCTGGTTACGCACTCGTAATTGCTGGTAAGCATCTTGGTTTTATCTGTAGCTTCAGTTTTTTATTTGCGTTATAATTTCTGTTTTTATTTAGTAGATCAGTTAGTTCTCTGTTTTAGTTATCTGTGGCGAATTTGCAACTGTTTGGGTGCTTAGATTTATTACTGTTAGACTTTTCGAGGACTCGAGCGGCTATGAGACCAGATTTCCTGGATTTTGTAATTGGGAGTTTTGCCCGTGTTTCGAGACCGAGGCAACTTTGTACTTGCCGTTAGCAGTGCATGTCGTAACGTTACTCTCGGGTTTTAAGTACCATTTACGTTAAGCATCATTCCAGTCAGAGTTGATATAGTCACCAAAATGAGTGAGAAGTTTTTTCTTCGAACTTTTTTTCGTTCCTGCCGAAAATTGTGAAAATACTCATCCTTTTCGTACCTTTCTTTCTTTGGCGTTAGATATGTTAGACTGTACATGCGTGTCAATTTTTTTTTTCAGGTTGTGCCGGGAAGGTATAGCGAATATCAGTTGATGGTGAACAGCGAACTAGTACAACAAGATTCGCCATGCGTGGAGTTCTCGTCACCGTACTCACACTAGCGGTGTTGGCGGTGCCAGCCCGGGCACAGTATTGCTCCGAGCGGCCCGGGGGCTGCTGCCCCGGCCGTGATGATACGTGCACCGCCCCCATGGCAGACACGTTCTGCTACTGTGACGCGTTTTGTCTTCGCTCGAAAGCTCCGGATTGCTGCCCGGATGTCTTCAACAACTGCACGGCTCTGCCGACCGAGAGATCCCCGCTGACTGCTAACCCTCTCGAAGGTAAGATACCGTAAAACACGGCATGGTTAACCAGTAGAGCTTGTCCCCGAGCGAAACAAGTTTGATTCAATCGATTCACTTTTCATGCATCTGGTGTACACTGGGCCAGATTAAGCACACTCATTGGAGTTTAGTACCCCGGCTCACGAGTGACAATCAGTCCGTGAGTTAGCGAGTCAGTCAGTGAGTGTCAAGGGCGGATCCAGCACACATTATTGTTTGGGGGAAGCAAAACAATTGTGGTCAACCAAAAATGTGGGTCAAAAAATTACGGCGTGGGGGCCCGCTTAAGGGCCCCTAAATTTTGTTGATTCTAGATGCTCTGTAGTGCGATCTGAGGCAATTTCTTACCACTTTGACCAATTTTACTCGAGGAAAATATGGTGGTGTACGCAGTGCCTGCCTTTATTGCGACGTCACTTTTAAAAAACACAATTGGGTTCGTGTTTTTATGTTTTCGGGGAAGCATAACTCCCGTTGCCCCCCCCCCCCCCCGATCTGTCCTTGGTGAGTTCCAGGTGCAACGAGAACTAAAGACGTGTCCTTTTGGACCAGCAAACTCAAGATCTTTGATTTACAAACACAGAACCGGTTTTTTTTGTGATGTGGCAAATGTCTCTCCTTAAATGATAGTGAACATGAAAATTCCACCCAACAAAAAAGTCAGAAGATGACATCGTAGTGACGTGACACTGGATTTAGCGTTTACAGGACGATGTTATGCACAACCATCAAGTTTCAACACGATGGGAAGATGATATTAGTTGTTGCAACCCTTTTATTAAACAGAATGTTCTGAATGTTGAGCACTTTCATAGAAATCTGTTTAAGATCTATTTCATTGGAACTCTGGCTGTACGTCTGAATGTCATTATAAAAACAATTTTTGAATTCTTACCCCGTTTTAATTTTACCTCTTACAAGCTTGTAAAATACTCTGATTTGTAAACAGTAGAAATTTTATTTTCCTTTTATACAAGTGAACAAACGTTTGGGAGTTTCTTCAATGTATAACCTTGGTCTTTGAAATGGTCCTCAAAATTTAAACATTTCCATATTTTGCCCCCACCCACATTCGGAGCCTGTGAAAGTCATCAGCGCATACCAGTGTAGGGGCAGCCGCCAAAATGCAGCATCTGCTTATATGATTTATGATTGTGTTTCATCTTCCAGGCGGCTGTGTCTATAAAGGCAGGAATTACCTCGCCGGAGAATCGTTGAAAATCAACTGCAACACATGGTGCGTAGGGGCAATTCCTTGACCTTTGACCTAATAGACTTTTGGACCAAAACTTGTTTTCGTACACACATCAATAAAATACATGTATCGCAAATAAATAATCAACGCCTCCGTGGAAGTATGCATGGTTAAAGTTCACTGACTGTGTTTACAGCTTTTTAATGAGTCTATGGTTACGCATCGAATGCTGTGCCTGTTAGTACGCCCACCTTTATTTGAACAGTATTGATGCGTTAGGAATTCTCTTTTCATTTCAAGGTTGTTTTCTTTTAAAATCATTTCCTCTTTTTATTAGCTTTTTTTATAATGTTTTCGAAGCTGTTTAAACATCGCGTTTCACATTGTTACTGGACATGGACACAATTTTGTTAGGTATTAAGAATGTAGTTGATATCGTTGTCAATATTTGCATGCTTTCTCGAATTGTCCCTTGCTGAGAACAATAAAACACCGTGTTTAAAGTTACCATGCCAAAGTTCAACAAGGCCATTGAAGTCAGAGAGTATTGGAATAATTTGCTAACAAGCTATTAAAACGATTAGAATAAGTCAATTCGACATTTCACTCGCGCATGTGCAAACTCTCATGAACAATGCAATTTTTGGATTAACAACACAGTCACGCGGCCCAGTTGTCCAATAGATAGCGAGCTTACAGCATCACGTGGGTTTGTTTATCTATAACATTCTGTCCCACAATTCATTGCTAATCACGCCAGATGTCGAATTGGCTTATATATGTGGTTATTTTTTTAAAATTATAACCAAACGTCTGTTTTCAAGTTTCCATTGTTTTTCTTTTTATTCAGCACCTGTTATCTAAATGCGAATGGCTACGAGTTGCAATGCGAGAACGACACTTGCCTCATTCGGGAGGAGATTATCACGTCTGTCAACTCGGCACCTAACGGGTAAAATATCTTTACTTCTTGGACAAGTACCGCCGCTGTGACCCGGGTTCGAATCCCGCCTGGGCCAATGTGGATTGGGTTTTCAGTCCCTGTCTGATTCCGTGGGTTTTCCCTAGAACATCATTCTGGGGTTTTCCTCCCACCTCTAAAACTGTAATTTCCTTCCACATCTTTTACCGAGGGACTTTCGTGGGGTAATCCGGCCAATTTCTGAATAACAAACAAACAAACAGACATACCAACAATCCCAAACTAGGGGAGTTCCCTCCGTCGCATTATCATAAAAAAAAGTATTTTACTAATCCGCAGGAATCAATCCGTCATTTTGTGTTCTTTCACCAAACAGATGGCGAGCCAGTAACTACAGCTTTCTGTGGGGTATGACCCTCGAGGAAGGCATACAGCGCCGTCTGGGAACCCTGAAACCCGGGCGAGCTGTGGCCGCCATGACGGAGATCGACATAGAGCAGACGAATCAACTACCGGAAAGCTTCGATTCCCGCCAGAAATGGCCAGGCTGGATAGAGGGCGTCATGGACCAGGGGGATTGTGGGAGTTCCTGGGCAATCTCGACAATAAGTAAGTCGCCATATGACCTTTTGACCATTTGACCTTTTGACCTTGACTGTGAAGGCTGTTAATAGCCAAACCATGAACAGCTGCGGTCGGTTGATTTACTGCTTAGGACGAGCAATTGTCACTACTGTGAAAGTTTCACAATATGATTCCTGACCTTTTCTTCATCTCCACAGCTGTCGCATCTGATCGCCTGGCCATCCAGTCCATGGGCCACATGAGGGCGCCCCTCTCCCCTCAGAATCTTCTCTCTTGCAACACTCGCGGTCAGAGAGGTTGCGATGGCGGGCATTTGGACCGCGCCTGGTACTACATGCGTAGATACGGGTAAGAACGGACACATTTTCATTCCAATTTCGCATCTCTGCTGGATTCACATACTGTTCCCATACGGATGTATACAATAGTACTGCAAGAGAAACCGGAAAGCACATCGCGCATGCGCAAATTGGAGCGCGACCGTATCAAACAGTTTTCAAAATTTCGGGGCAACTTTTGGATGTTTGTCTTTTATTTGGCCTTAATTTGTGAAATTTGGTTCCAGGGTTGTAACCGACCATTGCTACCCGTACCGGAGCGGCATAGACGAGGCTTCCAAAATGAACAAATACACGTGTGTGCTGCCGCGTCATCAGACGTCACCGTGCCCAAACCATGACGTCACTTCCGGAAAGTATCACGTGAGCCCTCCCTACAGGATATCTGTAAAGGTACATTTTACACCATTAACCATTTTGTGTCCATAGTCTTACATGGTTTTTTTCACTTATCTCTTCTTTCCCAATCACTTCTTGTCCAGGTTTGTCCAGGTTTTCAAGGTACGTGTGACATGTCTGGATCTGTGTAGTGCTTGGTTTTATTTCCAGAAAAAAAATTATGAATTAAAAATCGACAAAATACTTTTTGCTTTCTCGGCAGGAAGAAGATGTCAAAGAGGAGCTTTTTCGAAACGGCCCCTTGCAAGGTATCACTCCTTTATATTTCTTGAGTTTGTAAGGGAATGTCGTGTCTGTTGATCTCAATTTGTCCGTTGGGATGGTCTGAATGTTTGTCTGTCTGTCGGTTCACAAATGAGCTGTTTAGACGTATGTCTTATTGAGTGCGTGTTTGCTTTTTTTGGCCAATGTTTTGTCCTGTTTCTTCAGCTTCATGTCTTAAGTTCGTCTCTGCCCTGATCTCGTTTAGTTTGATCAGTTCTTATTCAAAGAAAAAGTACTTATCTCCGTCATTTTTCAATCTTTAAAATCTCGTTTTTCTCTTCTGTATAAAACAAAATGATTGGTACAACAGTGCTGATATCGTTTCGCAGAACTTACCCTGTGGCGGATAAAACTGTTTAGTTAATTTTTTTGAAAACCTTTTTTTATCCCAAATAATTAGCCACTATGTTGGTGAAGGCAGATTTCTACTCGTATGCCGGAGGGGTGTACAAGTACACCCGTGGCTCCGTCAAGGAATCCTCCCAGCATAGACGGAAGGGTTATCATTCAGTCAGGGTTCTCGGCTGGGGAGTAGACCGAACCGATCCAGATAACCCCATACCATACTGGGTAAGTTTTTACCACCCACGCTGGCTATTTTGAGTTTCTCAGGGGACTTTTTTTGGAGGGAAGGGTGTAACTGATGCCTCACTGAGGAACCAACGGAGATCCTTCAAGAGGGAACCCGAAACCTCGAAATCTGAAGAATGTCAAGCTCTCATTCTTGACGAATCTTATAATGTTATTGATATAATATTCTTAGATTGAAATAATCACACATTCGTAAAATATACAACAGCTTTTTGTTACACCAGTGGAACGAATTACAGATGTCATTTTTTTTTATCTGTGCCGCTGACCGATTTTTTTTTTATGTGCCAGAATTTTGCCTTTCGTTTTGGTGTAAGAGTTTGAATAAATCGATATGTTCTGTTCTCTATCAGACATTGTGCGGTCATTAGCATAATGTAGGGCTATCATGAATATTTCTGTGTGCTTTAAATCCAAACATTTCAAAGAGCCAGGTTGTCATGTTTCGCATGTTTTGTGTGTCTTCCTCTGCCGTAGCTTTGCGCCAACTCCTGGGGCAGCCAGTGGGGTGAGGAGGGCTACTTTCGCATCCTCCGAGGACAGAACGAGTGCGAGATTGAATCCTTCGTCCTCGGCGTCTGGGCGGACGTCGATATGAGAATGATGCAAGGTTGAAGTCAGGGTACTGAGAACGAGGTTCAGGTTCTACTGAAAATGTCATGGTCAATAATTAGTTGTTTTGATTATTTAAACTCAGTACTTTCAGCCGAAATCGCTCTTTCAAAGAAAAAAAATAAGCTTTCAAGAAAACTTTGTATTTCAAGGATCTAACAAAAACATCCATGTTTTTGATGACATGATACTTCTTCTTGTCTCCATTTTTCCTCTAACCTATGTGAGGTCACCTTTATCAGCGTTATTAAGTCTCCATGTCATTTTAGGAAACATTTGTAAAGTAACTGACAAGTTTGGTTTTTCAACGGTGGCCATAATGTTGTTTTCTTTTATCAAGAATACATCAATATTGAGTTCTGCATTTTAGGGCACTTTACTTGCAACACGACCTTTAACGATTCAACTCTGTCTGTCTGTGTTTGAAACGCTCATATACTTTCTTTAGGGTTAACCTTTCATCTTTTTGTAAATATTAAAACTAATCTTCTTTTTATTTGTATAAAAGCAGCAGTATAGTGTAACCACAGTGTTGTGTTTTAGAGAGTGTATAATCGTCAGGCATTTAGACTATTTTACACATTTAGAGTTTATTTTGTTAACAAAACAAATACGATATGCACCAAGTGCTAGACAAACTTATTTTAAATATTTTTTATCATGAAGGTGGGTGAGTGAACAATCAAAAGAAATTAGTGCTGGAAGGGAGTAAACCGAATAATCGTGGAAAATCTACAGGTGTATGCTCATTACCTTATGTTATGATCATTTAAATTTCGTGTATTAAGCAAACAAACAAACGCAAATTCTTTCAATATTCAGGCCGTAACAGGATTCTAAGAAAACTGTTCCATTAGACACCTTTTTATTTGTTTTGTAACATTATGCTAATTATTTCAGCTTGGCTATATTTAGGTTTTAATCTCGTGTTTTGTGGTTTGATCTTAAACACTTATCACACCAGCTAACTATTATTAACAGTCATTTACTTAACATTTATTTTGGCAAGATTCTTGGCTTATGTGGTAAAAAATAAGTGCTAAAGTTGTTTGATATCTTTCTTGTAGATCAGCAATCTCTCGGGTCGAGTTCTCGGTACTTCGTAAGCAGGTCAGCAAGAATCTCCTTTTTCTGAAAAAAAAATAATTTAAATTGAAGGACGTCATTTTTTCCTACACTTGGATTTTTCAACTTTTTATGTTAATATGTTTTTAAAAGGTTTCCGAAGACAGTGTAACCATTAATAACTTTTGACATTAAAGCTCATGTGTATTGTTCATTTTTTGGTCAAACGTTTCACCTCTCTGAGTGTCCTTGTAAGATCAGCCAATCGATTCCTCTCCTTACTCGATAATGACGATTGCGCTCTAGTTGAGGCGACGCTAGCATTCGTGGAGTCCATCATACTAATATGGAGCTGGATTCCTCTGGACGTGTAGCAAAGGGCAAACTGGAATCCGGTCGTTAAATATTTTTTTAATTGGCAATTCATAATTTGAGTCTCTGAAAGAGGCTTACCCTTACCATCATGGTTTTATTGGTCTTGGCTGTAGTCGTGGTCGTGGTCATGGTTGTGGTCGTGGCTGTGGTTGTGGTCGATGTCATGGTAATTGTCGAGGGCATGGCATGGGTCGTGGTCATGGTCATTGTCACTGTCTTGGGCGTGGTCGTGGGTGTAGTGGTCGTTGTCATGGGCATTGTCGTTTTCAATGTCATGGGCGTGGTCATGGTCCTTGCAAAAGCCGTGGTGGTTGTCGTGGTCGTAATATGTGAAGATATCGAGGTGGTGATGATCGAGGTAATGGGCATTGTGGTCAGCGGTATTGCCATAGTCGTTGAAATGACCGTGGTTCTGTCTATGGTCATGTCTGTTGTCAATGTCCTGGCAATCGCCAAGGAGGTTCTTGTTGTCACTGCCGTGGTGTTTGCGGGGTCATGGTTGTGATTGTAATGGTTTATGTTGGAATTATGGTCGTATCGGAAGACAATGCTCCAATCAATGTCATAGTCGTCGTGACGGCTGTCCACACTCATTCAAGCCCAATCAATTCCACACCAATTCAGCATGATTTACCTTAGGAACGAAGACAAGACACAACACTGCCGTATTGGCCACGACAACAGCGACACCGAAGATGCAGAAATGCATGTCAGCATTGTTGACAAAGACTTGTAGGGTAGGGACAGCGAGCACAATGGTGACAGCCACTACGTAGACTGACAAGACGATGTATTTACCTGACGTGCAAGCATGAAATGTATAAATAATAGTCAAATGTCATCGTCGTTGCTGTCATCACCTGATTATTATGCGACAGGTACACATAAAGTGGTATCAGTTGTCATCTGGTTTGTCGCAAAAAAATCCGTACAATCGTCACCAATTTCATTAGCACCGTAACAATCGTAAAATTGTCACTGTCGCACAAATGTCACCATTGATTTGTCATTGTCGCTGTTGCATTACCGTTCCCTAATTGTCACCGTGAATGCCAAGAGTGCTATACTTTTTATGACTTTGTGACACATTACTGAAACACTAGAACTGATAACTCACTGTCATTGAGCCCCTTGATGTTCACATTTCTGATCTCCCACGACAGAAAGAGACCAAACAAAAGCACAATTCCTTTGAATCCGTAGATGGCTCCGGTAAAATAGATCTCATGTACAGAGCCACATTGTCGCAGCACTGGTAGGATGTAAATCTCACTCTCTGGACTATCGGTATCAGAAAGCTTCAAAGCAAAGATTAACAGCAGTAAGAAATAGGCATGCATGATTCAGGGTAAGGATTATCATAAGTCATTGGAATAAATGTATCAATTTTTGTAGCCTAACCAGCAAGTTCTGACATCTTCTAAACGTCACCAAAGTCAGTCATTTGCATGTTGGTATTGAAATGTCCTAAACTCAACGACAAGGGACACTTACCTGTGGCTCGAAGTTGATCGTTTTGACCATCGGCTGACCGAGGGTCACCCAAAGAATGACAATGACACAGTCCATCAGAACCAGAAGCATCACCATTGATATCAGCTTCTTATCTGGAAGGTCCTGTCAACATGAAATTATTTTCACAACTTTCTGATATAATTGTAAATATAAAAGTAATGAAATATTAAACGAAACCTATTTTCGTATTGTTCCAATGCTCCTCTCTCCCTCCCAATGCTTATCGCGTGATTGTCCTTTACTGTGATATCGTTTGCCTTATCCAGGTTTTAAAATTGCTTCTTGTGATACCCTGAAAGTTCGTTTTCACTTACGATTTTCTTGAACCGTGCCACCGCTCTCTCAAAGATGGCAAAGATGCGATAAGTCTTGACCAGGAGCGATCCGAAGGACAGGGACATACCCACGCATATGAGCCACACCTCGACCTAAACCAAGAAAAACAAAAATTTTGTTAGTTATTTTCTTTCCCCAAATCGGAGTCGGAGGTACAAGGTAGGGGGCAATGGCCTCGAATGAGGGGGAGAGTTCGTTCCCAAAATACACCCTTTAGTTACACCAATGTTCCCAAATCAATTTGGGTCATTTTATAAATTTAGGGTCCACCGTGTGACATTTGTGTGTGATTTGCCATTGACGTATCATTAAGAATGACTTCAATACGATTCTTCTTTTTGTTTGTTGAGTAGGTAATTTACACGTCATAATCACTCTCGGAGGACGACTGCAATAAGAAGTGCATCAGTATTAATCATAGATGTCAGATGTGTAATCATAGATGCCATTTCTTGAACAGGAAAAATTTATAGACTTCCAAACTTCCAAACTTCCAAAACCACCAATTTACGACTTGTGCTTTTTGTGAATGAGAAGTTGATGTCTTCAACTTACGAAGCAGAGAGCGGTGAAGGTGGAATCTGACAAGAAGACTTTATTCATCCCCGAGACGAAGACTGAGGAGTAGAGAAGAAGACATCCCAGAGCTATAAGACTGCTGATTGGAGGGCTAGAAATCTTGATGGCTCTTCAAGTGAATATGAAAAACAAATGGGGACAAGTTTGAATATTCAGCAAGAATATCCGAATGGTTTTATTGAGATCGCAAACCACGTGGCCAAAGGCTAATCAAGGCGGTGGCTGCAAAGACAACAAGTCAGAAAAGGGAGAGCTAATGAAAGAGAGATGGTTTCTAGGGAACCTGCGGTTAAAGTGAGCCAAGTTATTAGAGGCAAAGCAAGATTCTGGCAGAGAAAGCCGGTTATAGCAGTGATGTCAATAAAAGATTAGGTTTAAATCACCATGTGTTTGTGAGTTTCTGTTCCTTTGCATTTAAGATGGTACGCAGGTCTTTTAAGGAAAACCGCACCTTTTGTGACGTCATCAGCCAAGACTCAATACACAAAAACAAAAAAGTTATTTTCATAAAGTATCAAAGTACCTCACACAAAGAAGAAAAACATTTAACGGGATACACGATTTAAGTTACGGGCGGAAGAACAGCTTGAAAATTCATGCATATTTGATTTTCAATTTCAACGCGGATTAAGATGAGAGGATTGTACATCCAGCCGAGATCCCCTCCTCCATCTCATCGGGCTCTGACGTAAATGATCATTAAGGGAATACCTTTGATTCCGAAGGGCAAAATTTAACGCCAGGAAGATCAGAGACAGCAGAACCCCGAGGGTTGCTGCGGTGAAGATAGCGATCTGATACGGTGCAGAAAGTCGGACGGGCCGCGGTGTCTCGGTTTTACCGTCTACGGGTTTCCCGGATCCTGTAAAATTAAACAAAATTGTAAGTTCTACGACTCGAAACTGGTGTCTTTGGGGGTATTACCTGCAGGTAAGACTTCGGCCCATCACTGAATCACGGTGACTACTGAAGGCACGACGCTGGAAACAGTCCTTGGCTAACCCTATTTTTTGGGGCTGCACTTAAAAACGATGTTATCAACAACTCCTAATAGAAGTTTTCTCCTTTTTTAGCCGTGGCCTCGCGCTCTGGGGCATTGAATTTGTCGTCTGCGGGTAGTTCTGCGGGTTGTGGGTTCGAGTCCAGCCTGGGGTTATGGTTTGTGTGCTCTTCGGCAAGGCACTTTGTCACTCATTGCTTCTCCCCACCCAGGAGCAAATGGGTACCTGTGAGGGCAGAGATGGTTATTGTGATTGAATTAGCTTCCTTGCGCCTAACAGGCTGCATCAGGCTGTATACTCCCCAGGGAGCTGAGATTGTATTTGGAATGTTTAATTGGCCCAATGATCAAGGGTAATAATAATGCAAAGCGCTTTGATCTTAGTTAAAAGCGCTATATAAGAACCTGTTATTATTATTATTATTATACTATTTCTGAATGATTTGTAAGCCTGGTGTTCTGCTTCCAAGGAAACCTTCCACAGGTTTGGGTCTTTAATCGTCGGAACTTAAATCAACCTACCTTTCCACACAATGGACGCATTTGCAATCTTCACATATTCGCCATCTGAGTGTGTGCCCACCAGTACAGGGTGTCCGTCTGAAGTGAGAGATGGAACGAATATGAATAACAGAGTATTAGTTCACAAGTGATTACATAGGACGACAGTCAGATGACCATTTATCAAACAAGGAGCTTAAGTAATGTGCTCCTTGGATGTATCCAAACAAATGAGCACACGCACGTTCGCGTGTGTTTTCATCCTGTACAGATTTCTCATGTTTGCAGCAGTACTTGTATAATTCGAATTTGTATTTATCATTAAGGTTGGTTTCTTTGCCAAATCATCTATTAGGAGGCCGAAGCATTTTATTGAGAGGAATAATTTGTCAATCAAGCATCGATATTGCTAGGTTTCATTCTAATCACTACAAACCTTGCAGCTGCTCCACAGACACGGTGCTGTGACGCACTCCCTCCTTGTCGATCACAACTCGACCCTAGAATGTAGTAATTCAAAAGGGGAAACAACAAATAAATGATCCGCTGAAAATCTCAATCATATTCAACCTACAGATTAACTTAAAAATTCTCAGTATGACCTAGCTTATCATTATTATAAACAGTTAAAGGTAACTGAATACTGGTAGTAACTAGTTGCTAGCAATCGAGGCAGAGCGTCATCATCTTACAGTAAGTCCAACGAAGTTCGTCTCCAGAGTGTTCTTCAGAAAGACTGCAGCCATGTCCTTGTCACCGTAGCTAAACTCGTCTAGCCCTCTCGGCGGTGTTAGTTGCTTCAGATCAGCTATAGAGCCGTTGAGAGCCAAGGCGATTGTGAACAGACAGTCGTAGGCATAAGTGTGTCGTGGGTTGTCTTCCATCGCGTGTAGGCGCTGTAGGTAGTCCAGTTGCTCGGGATAGGGTTTCTGACATCAATTTAAAAAAAAATGGTGCACGATAGACTTTTGCTTTTGCTTCAGTTTGGCTGGCATTGTCTATTTGGCCGGCTCAATACCATTTTGGCTGCCAAAGTGCCTCTTTGGCCGGAACAGTGCCAGGTTGTCCAGCACAATGCCAGTTTTGGCCGGCAGAATGGTGTTATTGGCCGGCATAGTACCGATTTCGCCGGCACAGTGGCGCTTGGCCTGCACAGTGCTGATTGACTGGCACAGTGTCACTTGGCCGCCAGAGAGCCAGTTGGCCGGCACAATGCCGGTTTGGCCGGCACAATGCCGGTTTGGCCGGCACAATGCCGGTTTGGCCGGGACTATTCCGGTTTGGCCGGCACAGTGCTGGTTGGCCGGCAAAGTGCCAGTTTGGCCAACACAATGCCGGATTGGCCGACACAGTGCCAGATTGGCCGGCACAATGCCGGTTTGGCCAGTTCTATTCCAGTTTGGACAGCACAGTGCCGGTTGGCCAGCACAGTGCCGTTTGGCCGGCACAGTGCCGGATTGGCCGACACAGTGCCACTTGGCCGGCACAATGCCGGTCTAACCAAGACATAGCCAATTTAATTCGAGAGGAATTGAATAAAAACTCACCAATCCGTTGAAATGGATCAGTGACACGTCACTCACAGCCTGGTCCCCGTCAAAGCCAAGGTACAGATCCAACGCCGTGGCAATCTCATCATTAGTGCACGGTACCCCAGGCATATCACGCCACCATCCGTCGGGGTACCAGCCCGGCAAAATCCAGACGTACTTCGCGCCAAAAAGTTTGGCTTTGTAGATCTAGAGAATTTATAGATCGTCAAATTTGCATTTTACAAAAGCGAGCTTCGGACATTATAGCAACCAATTTATAGACTGGCATGTCGCTGACTTGGTTTTATTGCGTTAAATGACCGTTCTGACCATATTGCCTGCTTCAAAAGGTTTATGTAAACAACCACTGCAACAGACCAGTGACTGTCAACATTTACTGTCAACGTGTATAAACCAGGAGGGGTCTTTATTAGCCCAGTGTACTGGATTATGCCAATTATATAAATACAAGAAAGGAGATTAGTATCAGTGCTTACCTTACAAAAGAACTTAGCCGCTGCTTCAAGATAGAAGCCAGCAATGATGATTCTTGCATCATGACGCTGTAGAAATGAGCCCAAACAAAATTACCAAAAAATATTTATCATAATGTTTTCGAGAAAACAAACCTTGAACAACGCCATCACTTTCGATCGTTCATTTCGTTTAAAAGAAAATAACGACATAGTTTTTTGGCTACTCCTTTTACCTTTAAATTCTCTATCTGCTCGTCGGGCCGGTCTGCATCCGTCACTGCCTCCGTGGCCAGTATACTGATGTTATCCTTCTCCAGTAACTCTGCCAAGTTTGCCGTATTCTTTTTTCCAATTTTTTTTCCAAAATAAAAAAAGATAAACTTACACAATCATAACATGTGCAGAGCGGAACAGACTTGACTAAATTCATGATATTTCACATAAAGGTGATAACGTGTACAATATCATTGAACAAATGATGCATAAGTCGCAAAACATAGTTTCGAATTGCAGTCGCTTCATTGAGAATACAAAATTGATAGTTGAAAATTATTTCCAACCCAACATTTTTTCTAAGGTCCAATTTAGCCGTTATTCATACCATGATCAAACCATTTTATGTCCTGGCACACGAGCCATAAACCCACCCAATGTCAAATTAACATGACAAAGAAGTTACACACACTTAATTCTAACATACCGATCATTAACCTAAATGACCAGTCTTTGTTGAAAAAAATACTGTTTTTCTATACCAGAAATCGTGTTGCTTCATTTCTATACCGTACCTGTCTGAAGTAGACGTTATCTTCAAAAACCAGCGCCACCCTCCGCCAGCCCATGTGTTTTACGAAGCTCACCCTAGCTGGGTTGAGGAGGTCCTCGTCATTGGCAACTTGGACGGTCAGTGGGTAGCGCGCCCGGTCCTTCAGAGTTGACGAGGATGCAGTAACGACCTTGATGGTGAGAATCAACGTGGGAAGGGAGAAAGGGGAGAGGATACAATACTTGACCATCGTGCTTAAGAGAATATGTTCGAAGAAAATACAAAACAAATTGGACAAAGTGTGATGCGAATCACAAGCGGTGATGGAAGTTGAGTCTACATTGTGTGTATTGCGTGAAGCTATATCCATTTCCATAACAGTGCTGTCTGTTCTCCGCGTCCAGCTCTAAGTCCTTAATTGCCACTCATAACTAACACTTAATTCTTGAAGATGAGATTGCTTTTTATAAAATAGGAATCTCTTTAAAGTCTTGTCTTGGGTAATTTTTTAGTCTGCCCCATTCCCTTTGCGTTACCATCTCCTCTCTATATAGAATTAAGGCAACAATGCAACCAATTCATTTGTGAAGTTCAGTTGAATAATTGATTTTGCACCAGGAGACAATCAGGTATAATGGTTGTTCATAAATGTTTTAGTACCAGAGGATATTATGTATTCCAATTGATTGAAAAGGAACTGTTCACTTGTTAATTGAAGCGTGTCGCTTGATGCATAATGTGGCCCCTTTAAGTATGAAGAGCACATAGGATCATTTGAATTTATCCCAAATGTAACCTAGCGAATTATTATCAAAATATTATTGGGATTAAAAACCGTACTGGTACTAAACACCCCGTGAAATTATTCCATCTGGCTTGCTGTCATTTTCAAGAAATCGAGTAAGTGTACATGAAAGAGTTATATTGTCGAAATCGTATATCGTGATCAAAAGGTTGTGCATGAGTTTTAACTGTTTTTTCGAAAAGTGTAATATTCACTGAGCTAAACTTAAACAGGCTAGGCTTAGGCTCTTCTTTGGATTTGGAGTAACTGAAGAGCATGGGCAGGTTAAATTCACACATGGGAGTCTGTGGTACCGAGACGTTCATAACAAGTGAAATAGACTGTAATACGTACGCGCTCTATGAAAGAATGAAAGCTCTTTTGTGCTAAATATCTCCTCAAAGCTTTTGACTTGGATATTTTTTTCAAAGTCTGCCCCATTTCCTTTGCGTTACCATCTCATCTCTCCAAGGTTAAGGCAATAATGCAACCCACGCATTTGAAAAGTCCAATTTAATCATTGTTTTGGCACAATGAGACATACTCGGGTATATTGGTTGTACATTAATACTGTAGTACAGAGGGGATCGCGTACTCTATTAAATCGACAAGGCCTTGTTCGCTTTTTAATTGGAGCTTGTCGCTCGATGCATAATGTGGCTCCCTTTATTATATTAAATGCACATAGGATTATTTGCATTTATCCTAAAAGTAACCAAGCGAATTATAACCAAAACGCGTAAGTTGTAATTGTTATAAACACCACGTGATATTATTCCGTCTGGCTTGCTGTCATTAATAGAAGAAATCGAGAAATGTAGGTGACTTCCAGCGATCAGTCAAACGACTGATTGTTGGAAATAAAGAGTCCTATTGTCCAAGTCGTGTTTCGTGATCAAAAGGTTGAACACAGTTTGCACTGTTTTCTCGAAAAGTGTAATATGCACTGAGCTGTACTTCAACAGGCTAGGCTTTGAACACTCTCTTTTAGATTTGGAGTGGTGTTATTATTGGAAAATAGGGGGGGAAATGTATGAAAAGCACCTGATCCGATATGCTTTTAAATATAATTGAAGAGCATGGGCAGGTGGTTTTTGCAACATAATGGAATTCATACCTGAACGACGTCATACCGTGGTAGCACCTCGTTCACCACGATAGCGACCTTAGAGTAAAAGGGTCCCCATACCATGTCAACCGGCGGGCCGCGCTGGACGAAATCGTTCAAGATCCAGAGAGCATTTGCAGGGTTTCCCTAAAAATCATAACCAGAAACAGTTTATTGTTGGTCTTATTATTTCTACAAATATAGTTCATGGATGGTTACGGCAAAAGTGACTGGTTTTTTCCAAATACCCAGGAGTGAAAAAAAAAACAGGTTAAATGGCAAACGCTGTTCAAGGCTTGTGCGTAATGCATGTCGGAATTCGATAAGATACTTTTTGCTGAGCGGAGAAAGAAAATAGAATTTTCAAACTAATGGGATAAAATTTTGAAATTTCAGAGTGGGCGGAAACTCGGAGAAAAGAATGACAACAACTAATGGAGATGCCATTATGGGGAAGGAACTGCACCCCCCCCCCCAACAAATTGTGCGAGGAACATTTAAGTCTTCTGTATCGGCCCTATAAGGTTCCACAATAAGATCTAAATTTGGACAGATTACCGTAGATTGCTGTACGGTGGACTATAAATCGTGCCCAATGGAGGCACTCTCGTAATATGCGGGGTCTTCAAGAAGGTAAAAAAAAATATGCACTAGTTTCACTGTTAATACTGTGATAGTCATGGGGTCTGCATGGAGATGGAAGATTGCACCCTGTGCGATGTCGTGCCGTTCTCGCTATTTTAGTCTTGACCAGGCCTGGAGACAACACAGCAGACTGGCAACGAAATGGACAATTCGAAATCTCATTGGGTAAGAGGCAAGCCAGCAAGAACAAAACTAGGGTGACCATCTCATAATTAGATTTACCGTGATTCGCCTACCAGGGAAGATAACCGTAGCTGTATGCCACTCGGGAGGGGCAGGTATTTATGAGCGGCAGTCGCACGAGCAATTAGTCCGTAGCTGGAGAACAGTTCAAAGTACAATGGACACGGTGATTTATTGGTTTCCACAAATCAGCTCCTAATTTGCTTTAACCTAACTTCAAAATTTGCCTTAGGAACCACTGCACTTAAAAATGATTTAGATCATCGTTAAGGTCGAGTGATCAATTTAATTTTCTTCCTTGACGAAATGTTAGCAATCATGAAACTCATACGGGCTTCGTGTGAGTTGGGAACCGCGCAAGGCTTATGTAAGATTGTCCAACACGAAGGGATTGTTCAGAATTGACCAAAATAAAATCAGTAGTAGCATCAATGTATACTACTTGTCGCGACATATGATCAGGGTTTAACGATAGGGTGTACACTTTCAAATAAAGGTTATCGATCATATTTAAGGGGAAAAAATCTCAGTCATTGTCTGACCTTTCATTCCAAAGCGTAAGGCATTATTTCGGATATATCTGTCGTATAAAAAGGTGAATATAGGAACAATATGGCATGACGAGCATGGGCGTCGCCAGGATTTTTTTCTAGAGGGGGCAAAGCTCCCAAAATCCTTTTGCTTTCTCTATAGTATATTCTTAATTTATCATTTTTCGAGGGTGGGTGGGTGACGTTTGCCCACCCACCCCCATTGACACCCCGCGGACGCCCATTTTGTTAAGTATGCATTAAATTTACAGCAATATGACTTCGCACCTCGTCGTCGTCGTCTTCTTTTATTTTGGTGGGGGAGGCAAGCGCAACCCCTTGCCCCCCCCCCCCCCCCCTCGCGACGCTCATGATGGCGAGTCATCTATTAAACAGAGACGTGAATGCATCACATGATTTCATCTACAAATCGGACGAAATTGAATTCGTCAGATAATACTTATACTTGTAATATATGAAATAAAGGGAGGGTAAATCAGAAATAAAGCTTCCTGGAACGAAAGGAAATCGCACGTACACAGCCTCATCAATTATGAGCAAAGAGTCCACAAGGGAAATCTTTTCAATGTGCATCCTGAAGAAAAAAATTTCCTGCCGATCTGCGCGTTTTAAAAGCACGTCCAATAAGGTTAAATGGATACAGAATTTCGGACAATCATTTTGTTCAGATTGCAAAAGCGGATTCACTTCGTAACGACAATGATATTTTTTATTGTTACAATCTTTAGGAAGTACTATATAAATGTATGTAATAGCCATAGTTTACAATATATGATGTTATCATTTAGAATATACTGCGTTATATACATATAAGTGTATACAATTAAACAGTAAGCATATTAATTACATAAATATATATAGTTAAGTCATAAAAGGTTGCCAGAAGTGTATGTTTTTCTTTTGCAACTTCGCTCTGAATAATAACTCTGTAATGAAAACATTAAAAATATTTATCCTTTTATTTTCTATACTCATTTTAAGCAAAGAGCCCACAAGGGAAATCTTTTCAATGTGCAACCCGAAGAAGTATTTTTCTGCCGATCTGCGCGTTTTTAAAGCTCGTCCAATCAGGTGAAATGGACAAAGAACTTTGGACAATAATTTTGTTCAGATTGTAATAGCGGATTCACCTAGTAACGACAATGATTATTTGAAGGTTTTATCTTTTAGGGACGCACACAACAGTCATAGCAGGCAAAAGATATCGCGTTTAGCATGCTCAAACATTTACGAGCGAAAGTACGTTGGCGTTAGCGAGGGCCTTGTATGTAATGTACATTGTGGACATGGCATATTGTGTACCGGGTAATTATTATTGATCATCATCGTTGAAGAAAATCACCAAAAGACGTGGGTGGCAGAAATCACAGGGGAACAATCAGCATGGATTATTACCGTCCAAACTGCTAATTCAAGGATAATTAAAACCGTCGCTCCAAGGATAACAATTAATCAATGGTGGTTTAGTAAATAAAGCACATTAGCATTACGTTGAATACGTTTTGTTGGCAAAACTCAGACATCACTAATTTGGCGTCAAATTGAATTTTGCTTGAACAAATCAGAAGAATTGTACTCGATCTATTAAGTAAAAAGACCGTATGTTTCGATCCTGGCATATCTCTAAAAGGCCCAAAAAAATATTTTTTTTTTTTTCATAAGAGTCGTGTTGTATATATGCATTTACACCCTGTAAATGTACTCCCACTCTCTGGTTTGACGAAGTGTTTTTCGGTAAATCTCATTATTTAGCTTTCACTGAAAACAAATGTTGCGTTACTATCCGCAGGTTATAAAGATTATGCTACGAGTTCTCGCATACCTAGGAATAAAGGCATTTGGTACAAACAGTGTAGCCTACTGAACTGAGGCTTTATCATAAATGCTTAATTTTTTTGAACGAAGAGTGTGCTGTTACTGTTACATTCAATGTAGATTCTACATTTCGACTTGCGTAGTCAATATATTACACTGGAACAATGTCGAAACTGACACTACAACTTATCACGATCTACAATTTATGCATCTTCATTTTCTGCAAAGTGTGCCACATTATAATGATAATAAGTGTACCTATAAAGCGCACGTATCAACCATTACTGGTGCTCAAGACGTTATACATCATTATTACCCTGCTTATTGGGCCAATGAAACATCCCAAATACTCAGCTCCCAGGGGAGTATACAGCTCGATGATGCAACTTCAGTGCAAAACATCTTTATCAATCACAATAACCATCTCTGCCCTGACAGGTACCCATTTACTCCTGGGTGGAGAGAAGCAATGAGTGACAAAGTGCCTTGCCCAAGGGCACACGCACCACAACCCCAGGCTGGACTTGAACCCATATTCTGCAGATTACCCGCAGACCACGAATTCAATGCTCCAGACCACGAGGCCACGACACTCCTTATATCCCTGGTTTTAGTGAAATTCAACCTGCGATATATTCCATTTGTTTCACTCCAAGCTATTTTCCTTTGGAAAAACTTAAACTGATTGTTAAGCTCTCGAACCTTATTTTATTTATCACCAAGAACCGTTTCAGCTGTTTAATTCGGGGGAAAAAAATATTCGAAAGGGAACGAAACCGTCGAGAGAGATATGCATACGTATTCACATCTCTAAAGATTATGGACCGACTGGACTGTATTGGCAGACGGCCGAATATAGGGATCGTGTTTTGCTTTTTTTTTTTTTTTTTTTTTTTTTTTTTTTTGGTCTCATTATACCTCTGACTCATCGCCACAGTTAACTTACACCATGTCGGACTGTTTATATTAACCTTGAGTAATTATGTTCTTCGTTCCAGTTGACAAGGTAGTTTGTTGATACGAAAGCTAATGCACACTTTTACCGTAGTAAGGCATTGAAGTGCTGTGTCAATTTTTCACGTGGAATTGCCTGGCTTTTATACGCGACTGCCCATCACTTAGCTCACATCTCCGTAGTAGGCGCATAGCACCGAACGCGTTTCGAACGGACATCTCACAAATTGTTAAAATTTGGTTGCCACGAATCCGACCCCTCTAATCGAACGTGCATGCCATACAATGGCAGACCGCACTTCCGTCCCATGCAGTATTAAATCAAAACGACCGATAGGGGTCGGATTGGGGAAACAGCCGGGGGGGGGTGATGACCAATCGCTGGTAATAATTTTATTTGAATTATTGTCCACGCTACATCAGAAAGTATGGAGAAAATGGTTTGGGAAGAAAACTGATCAGTCACTTTAAAATTGACCCCAAAAAAAACATTTTAAAAAGTTTTGGGATCCAATATCTACAGCATTAACACTAAAATCTCAATTTTAAGAAAGGGTAAAACTGCTCATTATTTCGTCATTTCACCATAATTGTGTGGCGGTAAATCAGCAGGTGAAATTAGTCACACACCAATATTCTCTGTCAAATACATGGGTTTGTTCTTGTTTGGTTCATGTTAGTTTGGTGTATTTTCCATTTTCTTCACCTAATACCTCATAACTAAATATCAAACAATATAAGAATGGCTTGAAAAAGGGCATGCATAGATTGAATCTTAAAAAGATGGAAGACGACGTAACACGAGCGCCAATAAATTATCTTACCTGCGTCCAGTTCCACCTCATTCGCAACTCGTAGCCATCCAGAATTCCAGTTAGGTTATTGACATGGTCAATAGCCGTTTGGACTGTCACGGGAAGTGAGGTGAAGAACGGGTGAAAGAATCCCCCGATGTAGACGGGCCGTGGTCCCGGTGCGTCGTGCTGGGAGGCGAGAGCGACTCCGCGGAACTCACGTAGTTCATCGAAGAGGGTTGCTATCGTCAGTAGAAAGCACAGCGCTATCGGTGTGCGGCATCGCGGCATGGTGGTCGGAGTAGCGTTTGGCTGATTAAATCATTTACAATTAATGGCTTCAAAACCTCATGCCGTGCCGTGGAAATGATGTAGTCGGCAAATATTTGAAGAGCAACCCCCGAGTTTCCTGTCTGAGCGATCGGTTTGATCTCCGATGCAAAACCAATCGTCTTGGATCGAGGATTCAAGAATTTGAGATGATAACTTGCTCGAGTCGTTCGTTTTATAGCTCTTGGCTAATTAACATCACGTGTCTTCAACGTCACCCCCTTACCTCCCGCCTTCTTGCAATCCCGACTCAATGGAATCGTACAGTTAAATCAAATGTATAACGCGTCTGTGATGACCAACATAGGTTTGCCTCGGAAACGTGTGCGTCTGTTTTTTTCTGCCCGAGCAAAATCGTTTGTCAAATGCTTCCACAGCACATTTAGGCTTTTTAATCATTGGCGCGTGATAAACGAGCAAGACGACAGGCGTAATGACAAGGCTTCAGTCTTTTCAAATTTGTTCCTTGTCTAGGTGCATTAAAGATGGGACCTTGACCGCAATATTTATGTGGTCATATATCAAAATGTCACGAGATCTTTCAGTATATATGGAAACTCATGATCAGTAAGAAATTGAATTTGGTAAAATCGGTCGGAAATATTTACACGGTCAAGTTTATCGACGGTGTGGTGGTTGTTGCAAGTTCGCCAAAGCTTCGCTTCGCACTCGAGTTTCGTATGAGTTCCTGAGAAAGTTTGGTCTTATAACTTTTTTCTTCGATAATATAGGCTGTAGAGAAGCATTTACGTCACCCATGTCCTTCAGTCAGTGATTGAATATTCAATATTCGCACTAACCAGTCAGCGATACAAGAACTGGCTTTTCTTTGAAAAAAATTGTAATAATTAGATGAAGCCTCTGAACGCGGCTATTAATAATCTCATTAAATGGTGTGATCCACCGCACCCCAGGTGAACATTACTAACAGCGCAATTAAATCAAAGATAGCGAAGGTATAATAATGTATTTATAATCGGCGAAATAATGACGATGAAGTTTTTATAAATATAAATATTATCTAATGAGACTGTCGACGCAGATTGATTTCATTACTCTTCCAGCCCGCACACGTTTAATTCATAAGACTAATACGTGTTATTTTTGAACCGCCGTTATACCAATTAGATATATTTACCAAATGAAATTCATTTCTCGAGTCCTGATGACAAAGACCGCATCAATAATCAAGTCACCTCAAGTTTCGAATCTAATTCTGGAAAGTCGTCATGTTTATGGTCATCTTTCCCTCAAGTTGTATGATTTCATTGCATGGTGATAGATTGTAACAGAAAAATAGCTCCTTCGTAGACTTCAGCCTTCAGAGTCAGTTGGTCACAATTTCTCTTTACCACCGCTTTAATTTAGATGAGGGAAGTATATTGGTTTACCCACTTCAAAGTTCACGAGTTGAAGTAATTCTGAGGAAAAATAAGTACTCTTTTGGACAAGACTGCAACCCTGCTTCCACTTCTTCTAAAGGAGAACCAGGGATGTGTAAAAAAATCAATTCGTTTCTTCAGAGTACATCGTGCCTTTGTAATGGTGACATGAACCTGCAGTAACGCTGCATGAGAGTGCAAACCAAAAAAAAGAAAAGGGTGGACAATCTTTACAGCTCTCGGAATATTGTTCGTTCAATTCAAGGATTTTGCGTGCGTAACCATTGTGAAGATTTTCTTGTATTCCCCCGACATAATTTCTGAAAGGATTTTCGGATTAAACACCAGTCAAAAGATTGATTGTATTGCGACATCGCTGCGGCACTGAGTAACTTAATTTGAAGTTTCCGTGAATACAGCACGAATAATAACGTCAAACCTTATCAATAGAATATTAATTTTAGAAAATCGACTTTGTAAGGTTTTCTTCAGGCTTTTGACAAAAGCATAAATCTAACATAACGAATTGCAAATTAGTTCGTGTTGTTCACGGCTGGCGCTTGGAAGAAATCCATTTATGCTTTGATAAGAGACGATTTCTTTTATTTTCGCAGACCCTTCAGATCGATGACAATTCCATTAAAACAAGATCCTGGATGTTGGAAAGTACTTAAAGAAACTCTTTTTTTTTCAAGATTGAATTTGTTAGCATCATGAACTCCCGACAAACTTCAAAATCGAATTAAAATTCATCTAAAGTTAACGAAAAGAGCTTTCTTTATTGAGAGAAAATTCACTGGGAAGCTTGTTCTATACTTAGTGATGTATGAACAAAAACTGAATAAATTTCACCCTGAATTGTTCTTTTTCTTTCCATCTGTGGAATTCCCAGGCAGAGCATGGCCTTAAAAGTCTCCTGAATCGATAATTAAATGAACCACATTTATGACTCTCCTGCCTTGCAGAAACCGGTCGACCGTGTCTCGAATGCTCGCTACAGATGCAGCTTTTAGGGGGAAGGTCCAAGGTTCGGGTTTTTGAAATACGGTGGCCCAGTTAAATCTTGGGATAGCGCCAGTTTTCATGTACTCTCAATCGATGACAGAGAAGGCCCCATTATAACAAACTAACCCTACATGAATGTAAACTCTCACGCCGGGGTACAGGGGCGGATCTAACGTTCATTTTACGGGTGGGGGGTGATATGAAGGAGGGGTGGGGTTGAGTGACGTCGTTTCGAAGGCACGCCGTTCTTGGAGATACGGGGTATGTCCCCGGAGGGATTTCGAAATCTTCCATGCTTTCTCCGTGGTTACGCCACTGCCCCCCCCCCCCCTTTCTATAGATCCACTTCTGGGGTGGAATCTGTTCCATCAAAATTTCGCCCTACAAAAATTAATTTTGTTGAAAATTGGTAAAAAATTTAGTTTGGACGCATCGTTGCCTAGTGCATCTGCGAAGGTTGCCCCAATTCGTTTGAGAAGTTACTGGTTATTGTCGTTAATATTTTACGCTGCAGTCTCCGTAGGAGCATTTTTTTCCCGTGCACGGTTGATGAAAAATTAATACATTCTACACGTACCCTGCGGCAAATATTGGACATTTTCGCAACCTACAGTTTCAAATTTCAAAAAGTCAAAAAAAATATCATTGTAATTCGGCACCACTAATGCATGCGCAGCTACCCGCCCCTGCTCTTTAAAATTTCAATTTAAATTGGAGTCTCACTGACCATTTCAGACAATATCATTAAAATCAATGAGTTTGAAAGAGAGAGAAAAGAACATGGTTTGAAAGAGTTTGTAATCGATGCCGTCACGTTACCAGGTCGGGCATCCCAAACTGAATCAATTATCCAAAATTTACCGCGTCAGTAGCAATCGCACTAGTTGAAAGGAACCAGCAAACCCGACCTTTTCGTCACGAACTGACGGTGAACTTATTGGCAGAAGCGGCTTAATTGTACTCGGGGCGCGCGCGTCAGCACATCCCTCGCGCTCGACTGCACATAACGCTCAAGCTTCAATCAATGAACGATCTCCTTCGAATTAAAGGCCGCTCACAGTGACGTGCTATTCGTTTTAAATGATTTGCAGACCATTATTTCCATTACAATATTCCTGTTTTCCATTCAATTAAACCCAATTCACAAATGTTCGACATTATAGATGTATGTATAATACGAAAAACAAGAAACCTGTAACAGCGCCCTCTATATATTTAACAAGCCAACCCGGACTTTAAAAAAAAAAAAGTTCTGAACCTTGTCACTTCATTGCTTTAGATTTAACGGAAAATTACGAGACAATGTAAATTAAAACTTTGATTCGTTACATCGAGAGTGGCAAGTTGCTGATTCTAAATGCAAAATGATGATATTAGTTTTTTGGGGTTTTTCTAATGAAAATAACTCGATATTTGTCCAAATTGCAAGAGAAAGAAAATGAGACAAGTGACCCATAGCTAATTCCCACGGCATCCCAAGCGGCTGCACGATATAAGCCACACATCGACACATCAACTGGTGACCCTCAATCATAAACTAATCGCTCATTGAAGACATAAAGGATGGTTTTATGTAAATCATAATAATAAGGAGCGAATCCACATTACGGTCTTCTGTAGGCTAATTGTTAGTTTTGGACGAAAATATGTGAGGTTATCTGTGAAATAAAAAAAAAAATGTTACAACAAAGGAAAAACATAGGACATAAAGATGTCAAAGAATTTTGGACATTTTATCTTGGTTACTATCGCCAATTTGACGTAAATGACTTGATCAACGCCTTATGCTTTTCGGAACAGTTCAGCCTATCAATATGTTCGGTCCCCCCTCCCCCCCCCCCCCCCCCCCCCCCTGTCAAGCCAAGATGAAATCAAGCTGCTAAAATATGAGAAGATTTCATACCACAAAATAACATCCCGAGGGCACGGGGCTACAGGAGACGAAATCTGACCGGGAATAGGGAAATGGAACATTCACGGGGTGCCGTTCAAACACACCGTCTGCTTGGTTTAGTGTACACGCTACCCACAAATCCATTCCTGTATTGTGGGATACGCTGCACAATCCCGGGCAGGGGTGGCTGGAGGGCGAGTCTTTCTGACGCCCCGCCTCTAATGGGGTAAGAAACGAGTGGTGCCATGTTTTAAATATCTGCTTCCTTCTGTGCACCGAAGAGGCGACTGTAGAATCTGAAGTTGCTTGGAGAGTCTATGAATACAAAATCTTCAGTCCAATCGATACTTCTTTGCATGGATCTTACGAAGCATTAAACTTTGTAGTACAGTGGAGTCACTAGGGCATGCCCCCTCCACCATCGAGGCCTCCCCCCCCCCCCCCACCCAGTCTCCCCCAGACTAGACCTTATGCCTTAATGCCCCCCACCCAGTCTCCCCCAGATAGACCTTATGCCTTAATGCGGAGCCAGAGGGCAATTGCTTTGTACCCCTTGGACAGCAATGAGTGAACCTTTCGTGCATGCATTGTTTAAGATCACCTTCTGAGAAACCTGCAACGCATAAGATCTGTCGGGGAGGGGGAAGCCAAACCGATTTATTTTCTCATCAAACCCGTTGAGTGCACCCTCCAGAACCCCTCCCCCAATCCTGGATGTCCCCTGTAAATTGGATCCCAGCTTCGACACTCTTTTAAATTGCTGAATTTGATTGCAAGTCATTACTAGCAAATTTATGCGTCAAGGACTCTGACCATTTTCTTAAAACAAATTATGTATCTTCAGATAGATTTGACCCCAGCTTCGACACTCTTTTAAATTGCTGAATTTGATTGCAAGTCATTACTAGCAAATTTATGCGTCAAGGACTCTGACCATTTTCTTAAAACAAATTATGTATCTTCAGATAGATTTACCAGCATCATTCTTGACAGATACTCATCGATTTTTCAGTGATTTCGCTTTGGGGTAATCCATATTCTCAAAACACAATTCTGGGCCTAGGCTTAGCTCGGAAATACTTCTTTTCTCTTGAGAGCGCTCAGTTGATCTAGCACCTTCAGCAAAAATCGCTGTCCACACTAAAAATAACACGCCCAGAATGCACAAGCTAAACAGAAATGAACACTTCGCACGTTTAGCCTCAAACACCGAGTACTTGGGAGACTTCATTTCATTTTCTAGGCACCTGTAATTAATATAGCCGAAGACCATCGCTTCATCCAAAAATAATTGTCGAATGATTAAACAAAAATATGACCCTTTTCCTCAAACAAGAGCTCAAAATGAAAGCTAGCAGAACTGTCTTACGAAGTACTTTGTCAGTTTGACATTTTCGACATTTGTTATTCGATTTATGTGCTTCGGAAATTCAACCACCTGTCAACATTAGAGAGTATTGAATAATTCCATGGAGAAACTACAGATGGGGAGCAATAATCTGGAACACAGCTGGCCGGATCGGCGCAGAAATATGCCAGGATTTTGTGAAGGGTCGCCGGGGGATTTCGGCCGAATGCTACCTAAATAAATGAACTCTTTGAGTCAAGTGCGAAAAGTCACGGTGGAAGCGAGCAGCCGGATGAAGATTGAAGGGGCGATAACGGCGACCAGCCCGCTGAATACCCTCCACTCCCCCGGTCAGCTAGGGTCGCTGCCTGATGGTTTTCCGACCTCTAAACTGAAATGTGTTTGATTTGCATTCATTTCAATGGTGTCTGTTGGGAAATCCTTGTGTGCATTTTCTTAATTAGAAACCAAGCTTAAACCCCAAGACCAAACTGCGGCATCCAACAAAACATGGCCGTGCGTAGGCCTACTTGCTTCTAATTGATGATCTATCCCAAGAAAGATCAAAGAAAAACAGAAGCAATCAACAAAGTTAACCTCATAAATGAAATGTATACTTTTCTGCTTAACCTTGTCGACTCCACATAAGGTCATCCAATTTTCTGAGCTACCTCCACTTCAAAATCTCAGATTATTGCACAAATCAGCCTCAAAATTGAACTTCAATTTCAAGTCAAATACTCCTTCCTCACGTTTATTTGAGACAGATCTTATTTATGAGAGAAGTGGTGTTATTTCTGTTAGTCTCATCTTAGCATGTGTAAATTATTTTATTTTTCATTAAAAAAAAAATAGGAGGGGCGTGTCCCTCCCACTCGTATCACCGTCCATATCCTCAGCAAACACCATGTTTGTGTCAATCTTTTTGACAATTTACTCAAATTGACTTGTTGTCAGAAACCCAATTAGATGCTAATACGTCCAGGGTCCCCTGGGGACAAACTATGCCACTTATTTTCCCACTTTGTTTTAAATCCCTAGAACGGCTGCCTAATGAACTATGACACGTAATTGAACTATGACCTTCCCTGTGCATTCCTTAAATATACACGAGTTTAAACAAAGTAATAACAACCATGCGTCAGGCCTGGTCGCAACAAAATTAATGTGACGTAGTTAGATCTCACAAGGGGGCGCTGTTCGAAAAGTGTGTCAACAAATAAACGAGGTGTAAAGCATGGTTTAAAATTCCGCTTTTTCGACGCTCCTTTTATGGAGCAATTTCAAACATCTGTCACTTTTAAAGTTAATGTTCGTTCTTACGGCAACGGGATTAGAGCGGCGTATTTCTGTCCCAGCACTTGATGTCGGCTTATTTTTCGAGAGCCTGCAGAGCATAAAACATGTCTACTTTGCCTGGATTCGAAACTACGAACATTTTATCCACCCAACCTTTATAAGTTTGCATTATTTTAAATTAAAATTAAGAAACTGGTGTTTCGGTAAATGACACTCTCGTGCTTGATTTCAATCTGTTATTTTCCTCTCATATACTCGTTTTCAGTATAATTTTTGTTCGGAATTCAGCAATAGATAAAAAAAACTTTTATCTTTAGCCCTACGGCTTGCAGTAGGATTCCTTGTAGATACCAAAGATATCAAGGCTACTGCTGGGATAACTTTGAAAGTTATTGGGCCCAGATAGCAAGACAGCAGAGCATTTAAGCCCTCAGACACGTGGACCAAGATTCCACCTCCAGTGTCTGTCTTCCTCCCCCAGTAGACGACTGATGACCTTACCGGGTGAGCGTGGGTTGAATACCGGGGTCTCTCTCGATCGATACCGCCGGGTATTTTTAACTTCGCGGAGGTGAGCTCTCGTTATTGTTGTCTCAACCGCTGGGTGTGCTTGAGATGAAGACAAACAAGTTAAGATGTTTGATTTTCGAGGGCTTGGTTTTTGCATGGTGGGTATAAAGTAGTCCGACCCTGACAGTGGGCGGGGCTTGACAGCACGTGGGAGTAGCCTACGGGATGGGCTCAGTCAGTAGATTTGCTCTCTCAGTGCTTTCTGAAGCCTATGGAACGCAATAGTTTGAACGAAACTGACCAAGGGACTGGTAAACAAGTTGAAGGTGCTGCTTCTTTATTTAGACCACACAGTATACGCATGAAACTTAGATAATCGTTTTAACTTTCAACATTTCTGTTTTAATTTTTCTTACACGTGACGTCTTGCCAAATACAAATTGTAATCATGAACCCAGTCAAGCGAATAAGGTGAAAATTAAAGGAAAACGGCCAAGTTTGAAAAATTCAAAGACCATTACAATATTTTATTAGCCCTTTATCTATAGTTATTTACGTCCAGCTCAATAGTACGCACGTCTAAGTTTACTTGGCGACAATTATTGGCATAATTGTCATCTGTGATATAATGTACACATATTATTATATAATTATATCGAATTAGTTTCTCACGTTTATTTTGCCTAAATTACACAGCAAAGTGTGTCATGCAATGTAACTTGAAAATCCGTATTTTAATACACAGGGAGGCCTACTCACATTTTAGGTTTAGCCTTTTACTTATTATTGGAAACTGTCATCATTTTTTTTTACAAAAATTTCTGACATAATCCATGCATACCTCAAGTGCAATACACCCAGGGCAGATCGTAGGCGGGGAGCCCGTTGTGACGTCAGAATCCAAGTCAGATCACAGCCAGGTGCACGGGTCAAAAAATCACAGCGGAACGCCGGGGATTTACGGAATAATAATGCGAAAAGGCAAAACATGCCGAGCCGACAAAGGTATGTGACTGGGTGTTACACGGGGCCATTATGAGACTGAGCTGGTATTTTGGAAAGAAAGCATCGATGCGTGTTAAGGCTCGTATGATGTTGTTCAATGCAACAGTGATGTGTGGTGTAACCTTGCCGAAATATGGTCTGGGATTTCACTGAATGCACCGAAGGAGTTTTGCAGGACAGGTAGAAGACTGTCTTTGGATGATGTTGGAGTAAAGTTGGATGCAGGACGCGCCTCGATATCTCCAGACTTTTAGTGCAACACCCAAAGCTTTAATCCATAAACTGGAAACTCGCTATATCTCCGCCGATACGTGTATGCCGCACACAAGGGAAACTTTGGACTTGTTGACTCCCTGCATTGCAGATTCTCTCTTGTCTCAACATTTAGCCGGCTGAGGAACTTCGTAATTTTGAACTCCCTGTGACTTGTGTCAGATTAGCGTGGACCTTCAGTGGATGCTGGTAGTGAGTTGAAGTGAGCTAACAAAAAAGACTTTGTGCGTTCTCCAGGAAACATCATTTTCAGGACTGAGTTGTGCTTGGAGTGGAGTGGGGCCCACATCCAACGGCAATATTACAAAGCTGGTAAGTTAACCTCTGTTTTGGATGTGTGATATTATTTTCTAAAATTGTCGTAAACTTTATTGTTCTCGCGGGAAAAAAACCTAAATCTGGATTTGAGCATGATTTATTCTTATGGGCTTCGCAAAGTCTTACTACATTGTGTGTGTAGTATTGCATCTCTTTATTTTTCTTAAATAGTTACAGCGGTGTATAGGGAGATCACAGATAATTGAAGTTTTCATCAAATAAAGTGAAGAAAAGAAGAAATGACCCTGTAAAAGTTATTCCAAATTCTACATTTTCATGCATCGTACACCAGTGTTGCTCACAAGTCATACTACACATGTATGAAAACAGCTTTGTGTTTTTCGTGCACTGTGATCACTTGTATGGGTTATTTTTCGGACTGTTATTGAATGACGAGTATTTTCCACGCGGCCGTATGGATTCAACTACTTAATTCCTCATTCAAGATATTTGTGCACAGGCTAATTATAATACCGGTTTGCTCAAAATAAATATTTGTCAAGTTGTTGACAATGTGTCTCGTTATGTAGACTGCGCTACGTCTGTTATGTGCACAGAGCTTCGTATGGGATAACGAGTGGCCAACATCGGGCCCTTGCGATCGATTATACACCCGTTCGATTATTGGAAATCGAGACTGTTTTGCAAAATGAGCTATCAGCGGGATAACAAAAAACAGAGGCGACGCATTCCTTGCGTTATTCAGTTGCGGTCATTTGCCTTTTTGCTATTTCTGGCTTTCGCTCGCTTGCCGGTGAAAAAAAATGGTAAAAGTGGTTTAATTTTGACAAGCGTCTTTGAATAGAATGATATTTGTCGCTAGGAGCAATGAACGCCTGCACCTTTTAATTGTCATCCCTGCGAAGAAAAACAAAAATCCCCAAAATAAATACTGACTAAAATGTGGAATGTGATGAATTTGCGAGTTCAGCAACTGGAATTCTAGGTTTTCATGTATTACATGTACTGCACATGTACATGTACACATTGTATGTGGTAATCTGTGCAGGTGTGTTTGTGTGGGCTAGAAGTGACTTCATACGTGTGTCACTCAGCTGTTCAGATATGTCATGTTATGTCCAGTCTTCTCAATTTGATATACTGCGCGATTCCGTGCAAGGTCGTGCGTTGCGCATTGATTTACAGTGGCCCGCGACGAACACGGGCAGATCCCAACCTGGAATTGAGACCCAATTGCGAATAGCTTGCGGGTGCTGCAGTGAAAAGGTTGTAAAATTTCAAGTTGGGCAAAGCCCATTTGCCTTTTTTTTTTTTTAGCTATTGAGGACACAATGGGAGGGCGCTTTTTTCAGTGGGTGAACAAACTCCATTCTATTTACCCAAATTTAATTAATTAATAACGCCATCCTATTGTATCCGCCACATCTTACATGTATGAACAACTGTTAAACTACTTCAGAGGATAACTTATCACCCGTACCGTTGTTGTGACAAAAGACAATGATTTAATGGTCGTCTGGGATTTAGAGGAACGCGAGGGGTTTTAGTAGGCATTTATTTTGTTGCCAAAACACTTCAACGACTGAAGCACAAGGTTCGAACTTGTGGAAGAGGGTCGCTGTCGTGTTTCGCATATAATACGTTCACCCGTTGCGTGCAAATTTGGGCTTCGTAAATTAATATAATGTTTCTTGTTCAGCACCAGCTAGAGAGTTGTTATTTGGTCGAGAAAATCACGAGTATATGCAGGCGCGGATCCAGGGGTGGGCCGCGGGGGCACGTGCCCCCCGTCAAATTGAGTCCACAAAAAAAATGAATAAAACAGGGGAGAAAAAGAGGGGAGGTGAGAGAAATGGAGGGAAGGAGGAGGGCAACCTTCTAACAAAAATGCCGGCGCCGATATTAAACATCAGCGGCCTGCAAACATTGTGTACTGGCCGTATGACACAGGGAACTCGAGTAACTTCGAAATAAACCGCGATCCCACCTTACGTATCCATACGTAACCCTGCATGGTATATGGGTTATGAAATGCGATTCATATGAGCGTACGTACCGGTAAGAAAACCACGCACGTGTGACGGCCGATGTGCTCTGTTTAGCGCGGTGAGCGCGACATACACGTTGAACCACGGATCAGATCCGTGGTTGAACGCTGCTCTTTGGACCACAATATTGGTCAAGGGATGTGTTTTTGTATAACAATTTGCCAGCATTTCTTCCACGCGCTTTCAGGGAGTCCAAAACATGTCCGTTTCAGTAAAAAATGTCCGTAGAAAATCTTATCTTATTGATAAACTGAAAATTTATACTTCATACAAAACATTAGAAAGCATCCTTGCAAAAGTTTACAAACTTAGTCTATACAGTTCTGTTTCAAAAATGCACGAAAACAATTATGCAGACGAAATGGTTATCAAGTGAAAAACAGAAGAAACTTAAGGGCTTGTTAAAGCAAGAGTATACATGTATATTAAACCAATGAAAATTGAAATCCTTTTTTAACTTAAAACATTTTGCTCAAATAACTCATGGAAAGAGGGGCCAGATATCGCCTCAGATTGCACCACAGAGCATCTAATTATCAAAAAAATTCCCGGGGCCCTAAAGCAGGCCCCGGACCCCACGCCGAAAGACATTGCGCTCCGCATTATTAGTCCTCGGGGCAGATCTCCCGACGCATCCTTAAAACAGTTTACAATCTAAGCCTATCCAATTCTTTTACAAAAATAAAATGCAAGAAATTGATTATGCAGTCGAAAAAACTTGGTTATCAAGTGAAGAACAGAAGAAACTTAACTAGGCTTGTATTAAGAAACACAAGAGTACAATTTCAAACCAATGAACAAAAAATTAAAAAAACACATGGTGTTACCGCAAACCGAAGCGATAATGAAAAAAAAATCCTAATAATCTTCACAACATTTTGATGAAATGGGGCCAGGAATCGCCTCAGTTTGCACCACAGAACATCTGTAGAATCAAAAATTTCCCGGGGCCCTTCAGTGGGCCCCGAACCCCACGCCGTAAGACACTGCTTCACGTTCGCATTAGTCCTTGGAGCAAATGCCCCAGCGCATCGCCCGTTGCAACAGTTTACAATCTAAGTCAATACAATTCTTCTTTTTTTTAAAATACAATGCAAGAAATTATGAAGACAAAAATACATGGTTTGCAACTTTGAAGTACACAGTAGCTTAAAATTTGTAAAAATAAGAGTATATTTTTAAAAAAATCCTTATAAGATTATCAACTTTTGCACAAAAAATTCAGGGGGAAAGGGACCAGGAATCGCCTCAGATTGCATCACAGAGCATCTAGAATCCAAAATTTCCCGGGGCCCTTCAGCAGGCCCCGGACCCCACGCCGTAAGGGCTTCGCGCTCCGCGCTCGCATTAGTCCTCAGAACAAATGCTCTAGATGTGCCCCCCGTCTAAAGAAATCCTGGATCCGCGCCTGATATGTACGAGTAGTTTCAAGGGCGGATCCAGGGGGGGGGAGCCAAAGGGGCCATGGCCCCCCCCCCCCCCAAAAAAAACGAAACCAACTGGGTTTTTTTTATGTGACGTCGCAATAAAGGCAGGCAATGAGTACACCACCATCTTTTCCTCAAAAAACATTGGCTAAAGTGGTCAGAAATTGCCTCAGATCGCACCACAGAGCATCGAGAATCCAAAAAAATTCGGGGCCCTTAAGCGGGCCCCGAACCCCACGCCGTAATTTTTTGACCCACTTTTTGGGAGACACGATTTTTTTTTTGGTTCCACAAAAATTGTGTTCTGGATCCGCCTTGAGTAGTTTAACATGAGTACGAGTACGAGTATGAGTACTCTTTCATGAGTACGAGGGCTAGTGCATTTCCACGAGTCTGAGTACGAGAACTCTACACTGGCCTCCGCCATACCAAACTAACTTTTAAAAACATACTCTCCGGAACTAAGCCTTACATTTTACTCCACCCAGACTTGATTTCGAAACTTTCGAAATTCTTGAAAGCTAGTATGCTTCACCTCGACTTTTTTTCTGAATGAAAACTCCTTGGCAACCAACAAACATAAACGTTCAACAAGCATAAGTGCCAAAACAACTGTGCAGTATTTCAAAGCGAGCAGTGACCTTGGCTAAATACTCACAAAATAAGCTCAAGCATCAATACGAAATTCCTCGTGTTGAAAGTTTGGTCAAGAAATTAAGTAAGGGAGGAAAGGGGCTCTTGAAGTGCCATTGAGGCAAGGGAATTATGTCAAGATGTCTTAGCTCGTGCTGCAGTGCACCATACAAACACTGTACTGGTTGGCTACGGTGCTCCAGAGCTGCCATCTGACTCGGAATGGGATTGTGAAGATGCGCGCACAGCGCGCGTACGCGCGCGTGAACCAGGGCGCGCACGCAGTGGATCCTGCTTGACTTGAGGCCGACCATAGCATGGTATCGTCGTGTGTATATGCCGTTATTGCATCGTCTACCAAGCTTTATTCACCGTATCTGGCGCCTTCATGGCGGGATTATTGCCCCAATAACGGGTACATAGACCAGTATCTCCAAAATCGTTCTGAACTATTTCGCTTTTCAAAAATAACCCGGACAACTATAAGGCACTTTTCAAGTAATTGTCTCCTTAATGAAAGGGAAAAGGACCAGTTCGATCCCCAGCCGCGTTTTGGTTGAAAATACATACCGTACATTAATGGTCGTTAGTTGGAAGCCCAATACATGTACATGTACATCCTCTAACAACAAATCTTTTCAGATGATTGCAGTGAAAGGCGTAATGTACGCATCATAAAACTGTCATCGTTTACTGTAAACGTGATTATGATCGCCCTATCCATAGAAAGTGTTGTGGAAAATGGTTTTATTTGTGTTGAGATATGTGTCGTGGAGTGCTGAAATTTAACAGACAGTGTCATCAGAATGGTTTTCGTGACACAAAGAAAGTTGCTCAAGGCTTTGAGGGGAAATAGTTCCTTGATCATTCCAAGGGCTACTATCTTTCACCTGCTGGGACACCTGTTCTCGTATTTAGGAACGGT